ATGAAACCTCTCTAGTCACCTATAACTGCCCCCCCACCCCAATATACAGGACCCTGCATAGGCTGGTGGATTCTTTTGGAGTCCATAGCACCCTCAAAAGGATAGAGCCAGTTTCTTCCATTATCACTGTTTTTCAATTGACAGACTGGTTTTGCCATATGCTCTACATCAAAAGTTTTCTTGAAAATTCTGGTTTTTTTAGTACGCAAATTTCTCTATTTATAAAGACATTAGGGAAGTAAATGACTTTAAGAAATGAGAGGAATTTTTCTTCAACTGGAATTCAACTATTATAAATCTCCAGATTCTAAAACACAATGAAATTAAGTCCCTGACTATAACCCACTCTCATGTATGATTAAATTATAGACTAACCAACACACATGAAGTGGAAATGAGAGTGAAAGGACACTCAACATAGAATTTGTATGGGGCAAGTAATCCTACCTCCAGAATGGTAGCAAGTTCTAAGTTTGACGTACTCTGTGTCAAAATTGCTTCTGGTTTGCATCAGATGCTTCTTATCTCTGTGCCTTGTTTTGTCTTTTCAGAGTTGGTCTGTGTTTACATCTGTTTGTAAACAGTGAAGCAAAGAGTTTAGATTCTTTGGAACTAACAATGAAAGAATTCCTTGAAGATTATCAGCATGAAAAGTAGATGACTTCAAAGAATCATAGGATGGATTGGATAAAACTATGGGTGATGGCAGTGCTTTGAGTGAATAAAGAGATAATTTTCTCATCTTCTCTGATTTTCTATTATAAGATGGTTTCCATTCTGAAAATAATTTTCTTGATCAGCATGGTATTAATGAAAGAGAGAATATTTTCCTTTGTCCTACTGTTTGTTTTCCCCCCTCTAGTGTATGTTTCTCATAATGGTTAAAAAGTTAGGAAAGTTAGAGGTGGCGATTTATAATCTCATTTCCAACAAAAATAAACAACTGTCCAAGGAATTCATAACTGAACTGAAAAGGGTTTGTGTTTTGATCTTTTACTCTCTAAGCTATATTTATTATGAGACAGTTGTATTTATAGTAGAAAACTTGGTTATAAATTTAGCAGAGATGACCAGGCTGGAAGTTTGCTCATCTGGTGTCTCATGTCTAAAGAAATGCTTTGTGAATCAGCCTAGAAATTCCCCATGCAAAACTGCCATAGAATATTTTTAAGAATTCTTATTTCTGCCTGTTCTTTTTTGAAAAATCAAGAATGTGATTCATCCCCTTAAAGTCTTCTCTTCCTAGGACTTCAAATAAAGACTGAAGTCTCTGCAATGATTTATCTCTCTTAGTTTTATACACAAGATGTCATTTTCACAGTTGAGACTTCAGATGTTTCAATTCCTTGTTGAAGAATCTTAGAACTAAAACAAATAGTTTTGATGTCATTTATGGTTCTATCATAATTGACAATAAACTAAACTGAGATGTTTTCCAAAGTTTTTTTACTGAAAAGGTCAGATTCAAGTATTACTAAAGCAAAAACTAAGACCAGGAATTTTACTCCCTGGCTTGGAGGCCAACCACACATGCTAAGGGGAAAGGGAGCTCAGATAGCAAAGGGAACACCAAATAAAGGTGTTGGGAGGATCCTCCCAGGATGGGAGAAGCATGCTGAAAGTAGACTATAGACCAAACATGATTGTCACCCATTGCCTCTTTTGCAAACCACAACACCCAATAAGAGAGAGAGAACAAAAGGGAATGCCCTGCCACAGAGGCAGGGTGGGATGGGGGGATGGGGGAAGGGAGGGATACTGGGATCCGTGGTGGTGGGAAATGGGCATTGGTGGAGGGATGGGTATTTGATCATTGTATAATTGAAACCCAAGCACAAAAATTTGTAAGTCTACAACTGTACCTCATGATGTCTCACTAATAAAAATTTAAAAAATAATAATAATAAAAGCTAGAGTAGTAAAAAAATAAAACCTAAGAGGTAGCTTATAAATTCACCAGGTACACTAGTAAAAGCTATGGTATTAAAAAAAATTATGTGTATGGGAAACCACTAATAACAATGCTGTAAAGCAGAAAACTTTTTATGAAATAAATAATTTTTAAAAATACCAGTTTCATCAAGATTAAACCATCCATTGCTTCAGTATATCTGAGTAGCACTGTAGCACTGTCCTCCCATTGTTCATCAATTTGCTCGAGTGGGCACCAGTAATGTCTCCATTGTGAGATTTGTTATTGTTTTAGGCATATCAAATACCCCACAGGGAGATTGCCAGGCTCTGCTGTTTGGGCGGGATACTCTCGGTAGCTCGCTGGGCTCTCCGAGAGGGACAGAGGAATTGAATATCTGAACAGCTTCACTATTAATAGTTGAATAGCCACTCAACATCAATATATATATATATATATAACCTTACTACAGATATTTATTTTTAAGTCTTGAGAGCAGCCCTTCACTTTGTCTTAAATTGAATCATAGTAATCACAGTTTTGATCTGACTGGTAATTTTTACAATTCAGTAATTGTTGCTGTTTAGAATATACAGGTGTGATCACTAACTTCAGGAGCCCACTGTTCTCTTCCTGAATTAAGTCTCAGCTGGCTGAGATCTGAAGGGCTCACAATTGTTTCTCAAATACATGTACAAATCCCTGGGGATGATATCGAAGGGAAACTGATATGATAGGGCTGGTGTGGGGCCCAAGATCCTGCACTTATAACAAGCTCCTGGTCTCTCTGAACCAAACTTAGAGGAGCAGTGGGTCTCCAAAACTAGTTACCTACTGCATTCTGGATTCTGATACTTTGTTATTCAAAGAGAAAAAAAGAATTTAAAAGCGAGTGAAAGGGAAATAAGAAGAAAATTTGAGCCAAGAATTTATTTTCAGAATTTAGAAGAGGATGCATTAAGAAATAAAATAAATTAGGGGCAGGAAAAGAATGATCTTTGAGATATGTGCATACATATGTTTTTTGTAGCCCTATTTACAATAACCAAGATCTGGAAATAATCCAAGTGCTCAATAGGTGAGTGTGTAGGAAATTGTGGGATATATACATCCCGAATCACGAATCACGACCATCCAGTTATTCGTCGATTGCCTCGAGCAGGCCCCAGTAACATCTCCTTCATCCTAGCTCTGAGATTGTATTCAAGGCTCTTTAGTAGAATGAGACCCATCATTGTTACTGGTATTTGGCATATTGGGTACACCACGGGGAGTTTTCCTGACTCTGCCATGTGGGCAGGCTGCATTCGGTAGCCTGCCAGTTTGTCCAAAGTAGGAATGAGATAATAAGATGTCATAATAAGATGTCGGTTCTGGGAGCTGGTTTTTATAGTCTCTGAGTCATGGGCATTGATGGGATTACACGGCGCCAGGGGGCCAGTTGGTGGGTGTGACCCCCGCCTACTGGAATTTGGAGGATCTGGGTGGAGGATGCTCGGCCCCAATCCGAGTAGGCTTGGAGATCTCGACCCCGGAACCCGCGTGGCTTTGTCCCTCTGCCAGTACCTTCATGTGAGGATGTGATGAGGATATGATGTGGGCTGGAGTGATAGCACAGTGGTAGAGTGTTTGCCTTGCATGCAGCCAGCCTGGCAGGGCCGGGTTCGATTCCTCTGCCCCTCTCGAAGAGCCCGGCAAGCTACCAAGAATATCTCGCCCGCACGGCAAAGCCTGGCAAGCTTCCTATGATGTATTCAATATGCCAAAACAGCAACAACAAGTCTCAAAATGGAGATGTTACTGGGCCCGCTCGAGCAAATCTATGAACAATGAGATATATACATAATGAAATACTATTCAGTCATGAGAAAAGAGAAAGTTTTACAATTTCCTACAACTTAGATAGAACTGGAAGGTCTCATGCTAAGTGAAGTGAGTCAGAAATTAAAATATTAATTGCAGGTGACTTCTCATATGTGAAATATAAATGGAGTACTTAGACTCCTGCAAATAAATCCTGAGATATGACCAATAGACTGGAAACTAAAAGGGAGCTAGAGAAGGGGAAAGGGCCCTTAGGATGATGGTCTGAGGGATCTTGAAACACTGGTGATGCGATTGGTGTAGTAGTCCTGCAGCCCTACAGGTATTAAGGTGCATACTTTGCACGCAGTAGAATCAGGTCGCTGGCACCACATGGCCCCAGAGCATTGCTGGGTGTCCAAAGACTGATATTGAAAGCTGTTATCATTAATTTATACTCTAGAGTAGGTGAGTTTCTTTCTATATTGACTTGCCTAAGATAATTAAACATAAAATAATAATAGGCAGGGCCAAAGACAAAACTGACCTACGTTACAGCACAATTTTAGACAGTATGACTTTCAATATTGAAGCTATGATTGAGAATTTGACTACTGTAACCAAAGGAATACAAATTATTGCTGTGTAATTTGAAGATAGCATGTAGTACACCTGTACCATTTATACACTGAGATTCAACTCAAAGAGGAGGAATACTCTTCAATGAGATCTTCATCTCTTGAAACTTTTTATTGGGAAACTAAAAATGTTAATCACCATGTAGTAATGAGATTCTTAAGACAGGTAATTATATTTTGTTTTCCTTAAACACTTAAAACATGTTCTTTTAATGGGACGATCTATTTATGTAAACATATTATTATCACTTTATCTAAGTGCTCATTTCTGTAATTGTCTGCTAAAGTCATTTACAAATTGTTAGTTTATAGCACCTGTGTAAAAAAATTTTGGATTTTACCCAAAGGTAGGGCAAAAATATAGGACAAGAATTTTACATTGTATTTTTAGTTTGTTTTAATATGCCACAGACAGTAACGATAACAGGTCTCATTTCCCTGACCCTGAAAGAGCCTCCAATTGTTGTGAAAGATGAGTAAGGAGAGGCTGCTAAAATCTCAAGGCTGAGAGGAACAGAGATGTTACTGGCTCCTGCTCAAGTAAATTGGCAAACAACAGGATGACAGAGATACTGTGATACAGTGATTTTTAGTTTGTGTCAGAAATGAGAATAAAAATTTATTTTTTGCCTATTTATTTTTTACAGAGAAATTTATTGTTGCTCAACCAATGTTTGTTTTTGAAAAAAGGGAACAAACTTTCAAGGTAAGATGAAACTAATTTTTCTTGTTCAATTTTACTTTGACAAAGAAAATGTCCTTGACAAAGAAATGTTGTTTTAAGCATCTAGTGAAAGACTTGTCCTTCATCTAGTAGAATATTTATTTATGTATTTATACAGTAGGGATTTACTGAAAGCAATTTTACTGTCCTTGAAATAGGAATCAAGGGACCTCATCCTGAAACTATAGATAACATATGTCTTTACTAAAATGATATTTTTGACTTGACTTGAAAAAAAGACGGGACTGAAAGTGGGATTAAGTTTCTATATGAATCTCCACCACTAGCCAATTATAAAACAATTTCTAAAACAATATTTAATTTAAAAGATGAATTCAGAACTCTGACTATTAGGCACCATACTGAAATCATCTAGAGAGACAAAAGATTAGTAGCATTTTTAATTTTACCAAATCCTTTAAAAGAAGAACTAAGACACGTTCTCCAGTTTTTACTCCAAAATATCAAAGAGAGAGTGCTTCCGAATGCATTTTAATGAGTTCAACATTATTCTGTTACCAAAACCAGACAAGTACATCATCCAGAAAAAAGAAAACTACAAGCTATCATCTCTATTGAACTAAATGCAAAATTCTCAACAAAAAATGTTAACAAATGACATTTAACAATGCATTTAAGTGTCATGATGAAGTGGGGTTTATTTAGCACACAAGAATGGTTTAACATATACAAATAAATCAATGTAGTAAACTATACAATAATGAAAATTAAAAATTATATGTTAATATAAATTAATGTTGGAAAAACTTTTGGCTTATAATAATCCTCAATGAAACAGAGATAGAAGGAACATAACTCGGGGTAAAATTTCTAATCAATAAAACCACAACTAATATTTTACCTAATGGTGAAAAACTAAATTTCTTTTCTTTAAAATCAGGCACTGGAATAAAAATAATTACATTTCTCTATAGTACAGAATAGAAAAAAATTTCTCTATACATTTCTCTATAGTACAGAATAGAAAAAAATTTTTATTTTTATCAATAACATACAGTGGAGGATCTGTCCAATGGTGTTGGAAAAACTGAACAACCAAATACAAAGGAATGAAAATGGACTACTCTTTAATACATACACAAAAAAAAATTCAAATTAATTAAAAATGGATTAAAACTTTACATAAACCCTAAAACTTTAAAATATGTAGGAAATAATGTAGGTAAAATTTTCCATATCATTACATTACAAATGTTTGGGGCACTGGACCCCAACAGTAAGAAATGAACATAAAAATAAATTGGATCTGTAGTAAGTTGACAAGGTTTTGTATAGCAAAATAAAATATTAACAGAACCAAAAGATAACCTATGGAAGAAAGAAGATATTGGCATATTATTTACCTCATTATCTGAAGAAGTTTAATTTTTGGTCCATACCATGTACTGCTTGGGCATCTACACTGGGCTCAGTGCTCAGGAAACCATGCAATGCCAGGGTTTGAATTCAGGGCTTCCACATTCAAGACTTCAAGTCCTAAGTCATATCCCTGGACCAGAACTCAATAATTGAACACAAATAAGACAATAGCAAAAAGTATTTTACAACTGGGCAGAAGACTTGAATAAACTCTCCAAATGTTGATAGCCATATCAAATTTACTCATCATCACTGACCTTGGGGGGACCAAATTAAGACTACAAAGAGATATCACCTTACATCTGTGACAATGACTTAAAACAATAGTGGCAATACAAGTGTTGGAGAGGGTGTGCAAGCAAAGTAACTCATGTACTGTTGGTGGAAGTGTAACACAATGTTGCCATTTTGGAAAAACTATAGTGCTTTCTCAAGAAACTAAAGGTAGGATTACATAAGAGCCAACAATCCCACTCTTGACTTTTTGGCCAAAGATCATGAAAACACAAAAAGTTATATCCACCCCAATGTCTATTGCAGTACTATTTAAAATTGCTGAAATATAAAAACAACCTAAGTCAATTGGGTAAAGGAGATGTACTACATTTTCATGATAGAATACCTGCCAGCCACTTAACCAGAAAAGGAATTTGCCGTGTATAACATAATGAAAAGTGTTTGGAAAATTATATAAAACAAAGTACATCAGAAGCAAAAAAAAAACAAAAAACAAAAACCAATATTGGAGAATTTCATTTATGTGTGCAAAAGGAATTTATGAAGAAACAATACAAAATAAATAGACAAATAAGTAGACATTGATAACAGAACTAAGGTTACCTGAGAAGAGGATGAAATGGTAGAGGATGGAATAGGTGTTTTGCTTTCTTGTTTAAAAAAAACCTACAATTTTTAAAAATCTCTGTTAAAAAATTATCTTCTATCTTAACTTAGTGTTTTTTGCACCTTTCATCTTCTCTATGCAGATAATTTACTCTATTCACTCAAGGCTCACTAGAGGAAAAAAATACACACACACACACACACACCCTTGCCATTTTTGATTCTTGGCCCTACCCCAGCCTTTCAAAATCATTTTAAAGAAGATCCCACAAGGGGTTCTGTAGTTACTGAAATCTGAAACCACTGCTAGACTTTCCTTTCTTTGTATGCCTAGTGAACAAAGGTGAGCTGCTTTGTCCTGGCTTTATTTAGTAGACCAGACTTCTGAGAATTTTGTTATTAAATAATGAGGTGGATCTATGATGAGGAAACAGTCAACACTCAGCTTTCATTGTTAGTTTTGTTTCCTTCCAGAGACCTGCAGAAGACAGCCTGTGTGAAGTGGTGGAGCATGGTAATGATTTACATCCTGTGTTTCTAAACCAGTTCTTAGGCAAAGAAAACAAGCAGGCCCAAGTATTTTGACAAGTGACAAAGACCAAGTAAAGCTTAATGGTTTTTTGTTGTTGGTAGTGGTGGTGGTGGTTGGTTTGGTTTGGTTTGCAGGTGGGGGGAGGCATACTACAACTGGCTGTGTGCTCAGGTGATTACTCACAATAGTGCTCAAGAGGATTATGAAGTGCCCAGATTGAACCCAGGCATCCTGTGTGCAAAGTGTGTGCTTATCCCAGTGATCTAGCTCTATTGCTCCTTTCATTTTTCTTTTAAACAGACAAGTATATTGACCTTTGTTCTTAAGGGCAACTTGAAGATCCCTGAAAACATTTCTAAAATCCCACAGGCAGTGACTACTCTTCAACCTACTTAAAAATATTCTGTAGCTCCGAAGAGATAGCTCAAAAACTGAATGCCTGCTTTGCATTCAGGAAATCTGGGTTCCATCCCCAGCACTAACATGGTAGGGAAGATCCCCTAGCACAGTGCCAGGAGTAGCCCCCAAAGCATTACTGGGTGTGGTTCAAAAATCAAAACAAAAGCATTCTCTAGTGCTGCTAAATCCAACTAAAATATCAATTGTACTGTCTCAGAATTCATATGCAATTTCTTAATGAAGTAACCTCTTTCTAGTTGCTTCATACTAGATCACATGCTTACTGGTTTATAATCATTAAGATATTGATCCCAATATTTAAATTTGTGCTTTAGGATTCAACATGCTATCAAATGATATATTTACCTTGCCATAGCATGTATTAAAAATAGTTTATTATAAGCCATTTTAGTGTACCCTTTGAATTTCTTGCAGAATATAATGATTTTTTGAGAAAGCGTATACGGTCTTCATCTTTTGCCTTGCATACCACAGATTCTCAGACGCAAGGAGGTAGGTAGAGATTTGACCCTTAACTTTTCGTTATTATATTTTCTCTACATGTGTAATTACTATACAACTTTTTAATATTAGTGTTTAAAAGTATATCCATTCGGTGGTATTTATAATCTATTGTTATGGGAAAACAATAACCAATAAAAGGAAATTTCAATACCAGGAATTCAAGTTATCAATATTAGAGTAAACAGGAAAGAATATATTTGCTTTGTTTAATGGTGACCTTAGATGATGGGTTTATAGAAATATGGTGATTTTTTCTTCATCTTTGAATATTTTGGCACTAAATATTTTTACATGAAGCATGTGTTAGCTTTGCAATTAGGGAAAACTGCTATTTCACCCCCAAGTAAATATCTATTTAAATGTCTGCCCTTTAAAAAAAACCTTTATTCTAAGAACTTTATCATATACTGAATACTGAGTAAATCAGTAACTTAGTTCACCTCTCTTAAAAAGCACAAAGCATCACAGACAACCTGATATAATAAATAGTATTGCCCTCTGTCTGGTGACACAGCTATTTACGTCTGCTGTCTTGTCTGTAGGGTGAGTCATACCCATGTCTGATAGATGTTACACACAGAAAGCTCACAAACTTTGATGGAAATTCATTTATAAACTTTATCAAAGGCATGCTACTTTTAAAAATAAGATACAGATTTTTTAAGTTAGTCATTAGAGAAAATTTTTCAAAGCTGCCAAAATACAGACGAAGTAAAATCTGACTCCTAGTGACTTTAGTTTGTATCTGCTTTTAGTGTCAACCTTGTCCCAGAAACAAATGAGAACCTCTTCCTTTACTGACTTCCCAGTCTTCCCCCCTTCTGGGCCAGGTAATGAAAAACTAGAATTTTAAGGCTCATATTCTGACTGTTCTATTTTGGGGGAGGGCCTTCCCAGCAGTGCAGGGGGTTGCAGGGCCCAGGGCTACACCTTTGGTGCTCAGGAGACCAACCCAGGAATCCATCCCAGGGCCCTGTGTATGTCAGTGAGACGTACCCTCCAGTACACTGTGCTATCACTCCCTCCCTAGCGCCTCATCCCCTGACTTTACAAAATCCATTCTTAGTTATGATGACCTTGCTTTCTTTTGGTTACCATAAAATTTTGACATTTTAGTAGCAAATAGCTTATAGCTTTAGTAAAGTAGCTTGGAAAAATAAATGACAAATTTCACCTTCAGAAATAAAAATACCTAATGGTTTGTTTTTGGCACAAAGTTCAACATTGATGATGTTTTTTAGAACTTCTTGTTTATGATAATTACTATACAAGCCAGTTCTATCAAATGACCTGCTTTATTTTATTTATTGTTGCCCAATCACATAGTTTAAAATATATAGTTGTATTTAAGATATATTAGATTTTGGTTCTAAATTTGCTTTATTTATTTATTTATTTATTTATTTTTTCTTTTGGACCATACCTGGTGGTGTTCGGGAGATACTCCTGGCTCTGTGCTCAGGGGCCACTTATGGCAGTGCTTGCGGAACCATACATGAAGCCAGAGATTGAACTGAGATTAGTTGCATGCAGGGCAACAACTTTAATCTTAAACTATCTCTGTGACCCTTAAAATTGATGCTTTGAGATGAAATTCTAAGACTGGGGATTCAGCAACAGATCATGTGCCTTGCATGTTTGAGACTATGGATTTGGTTCCTGGCATAATACTTTGGGACACACACTGAAAGAATGAAAAAGTAACAATACTAGAATGCAACATTCCATTTTACATTGTGTGACATGATGGTAATATTGAAATAGAAAAAAACTTTGGGCCATTTATTGTTGATTTTCATTAATAAAGGTCATGCAAAACGTTTAAATGAAATTTGAATTTAAAAAGCATTTATAATATAAAATATATAATAACCCTAACATTTATAGTAGCAATTTATTCCCATCTCCATTAATCAAATTATCAAAGCTTGCTATTTCTGCAATTTGTAACCAAGAGTGATCTTGCAATCATATTCTTATCCTAGCAACACATTTCATAGAAAAATAACTTGAACTAATAGCCATCTCTACTCTACTCTTCAATGTTACTGGGCCTGCTCGAGCAATTGATGAACAACGAGAGGACAGTGACAGTGACAGTGACTCTACTCTTCTGATATTAGAGAATGGGCAGAGGCACAATTTGTTAAGTTTTATAATGTTCTATAAGAAATATGTATTAATACAGACCAAAGGTTACTACCATTTTAGACTGTATAATGTGAGCATTATCAGTATACTTTATCATGAATCTAAAGAAGACTATTCCTCTAATGGTGTAATTTGCTCTTAAATTTCTGAGAGTAAGGGGAGCTTTGTAGCAAACTCATACTGCCCATCACCCAGCTTTCACAGAATCCAGACACTCATTCTCACTGCCTACCCACTGTTAGTTTCAACAGTGACATCTGTTGGTTAGGTTCGGTACAAGACTGTTTCTGCCTTTAATTTTAAATACTCTTACTTTGTATTTTTTCAGTGAAGAAAAACAATGTTTTTATGACATCAGCCCTTGTGCAAAGGAATGTTGATTTGAACAAAGAAGAACAAGGTACATTGGTTTTATATTACAAGCTCCCTATAAATTTTACATACTTACCATTTATATATATGTATATTTAAAATTTTTATAGTGAATCATTGTGAGGTACAGTTACAGACTTATAAACTTTAGTGCTTGCATTTCAGTCATATTATCGAATTATCGAATACCCATCCCTCCACCAGTGTCCATTTTCCACCACCAATGGTCCCAGAATCCCTCCCACAACCCCCACCCTGTCCCATATATATATTATATATATAGTCCCATATATATATAATATATATTTATATATATCACGATCACAATCATCCTGTTGTTCGTCGATTGCCTCGAGCAGGCACCAGTAACATCTCCTTCGCCCTAGCCCTGAGATTTTAAAAAGTGCTATATACAACACTCTTTCAGGGTTAGAAGAATGAGACCCATCATTGTTACTGGTATCTGGCATATTGGGTACACCACGGGGAGTTTGCCAGACTCTGCCTTGTGGGCAGGTTACATTTGGTAGCCTGCCAGGTTGTACAAAGTAAGAATGAGATAATAAGATGTCATTAGTAAGAATGAGTAAGAAATGAGATGTCAAAGTAAGAATGAGATAATAAGCATTCATGGCCGCGTGCTACTGGGAGCTGGGTTTTATAGTCTCTGGGTCTTGGCCGTTGATGGGATTACACAGCGCCAGGGTCGGGGCGGCGGTTTTTGGGTGTGACCCCTACCTACTGGAAGATGGAGGATCTGGTGGAGGATGCTCAGCCCCGATCCAAGCAGGTCTCAGTCCCGGGACCCGCATTCCTTTGTTCCTCTGCCAGTACCTTCATGCATGTGGAGAGTGGTCTCAGCATGGTTGTGGCTGATTCTGGAGGTCTTCGGCTGCCAGGGCTCTGCTTGGGGTGGGGAGGGAAACTCAACCCGCCCCTCTCCAAGGGGCCCCGGCGAGGACAGCCAGGCGCAGGGACAGGAGACTCTGTGTTGTTCTCTTCCAGGAACTGGGTTTTATAGTTGCTGGGTCTTGGCCGTTGATGGGATTACACCCACCACCATGCTGAGACCACTCTCCACATGCATGAAGGTACCAGCAGGAGAACAAAGGCATGCGGGTCCCGGGAGTGAAATCTTCGATCCTGCTCGGATTGGGCCTGAGCATCCTCCACCCAGATCCTCCATCTTCCAGTAGGCAGGGGTTACACCCACAACTGCCCCCTGGTGCCGTGGAATCACCAGGAGAGCAGTTACAAAGTTTTCGGTTTAAGTCTCAGTCATACAATGATGAAATACCCAGCCCTTCACCAGTGCACATTTTCCACCACCAAAAACCCCAGAGTACGCCATCCCACACCCTCCCCCTATATGTGTGGCAGACAATTTCCAAATTATTCTCTCTCTACTTTGATTACATTTAATATTTCAACCCCAGCCCCACCATTGTTATTTGGGACGTTACCCCAGCACTCAAATCTGCCGAAAAGGCACATTAGACAAATTGTTTTCTATTGCTGATTATGAATTGCATATGATGTCATGATTTTGGAATTATGAAGTTTTAATAATTAAATCTGGAGGGATTTCTATCAAAAGCCACTGTGTTCCAAGATTTGTTTCTGAGTCTCTGGGATCATAACAAATAAGCAGCTTGATCAGCAGCCAGAGGGCTTGTTCATGGGTAGCAACTTGGGGTCTCATAGGGGCAGGGTGGGGAGGGCCGGCTCCACCCCCGTCCCATGAGGCCCAAAATCTCTTGTCACTGTGGGCCCCCACCTGCCTGTCTATAGGCCTCTGGAAGATGGCAATGACTGAGCCACCAGGGGCAACAGGCCAAGGGACAAAACCTATTTCCACCTGGGATGGCACGGCATCAGAAACCTAAATCCGGATACATTTCTGCCAAAAGCCACTAGGTTCTGAGATTTGTTTCTGAGTCTCTGGGATCATGGCCAATAAGCAGCTCAATCAGCAGCCAGGGGGATCATTGGAGGGCGGCAACTCCCCCATTTATATTTTAGTGTGGTGTTGGGGCGTGTGTGTGTGTGTGTGTGTTGGGATATGGCAGTTGTACTCAATAAAATAACATGAATAAAAATATAATCAATGGTGCCATGATCAAAATGGATAGTAAAAGTTAGGATGAAATTAGTAACTAACAGCGGGGAGACTGCCTGTCCAGCTTCGCGGGACCGCCCACCAGTTCATTGGCCCCTCCACTCGAGGTGGGTAGGCGGAGCCCAGCCGGGAACTGCTCCTACCCCCCAGCCACGCCACCCAGAGGGGAAACTGTCCACCACCCTTCCTCCATTCCAGGATCCTGGGTGGGAGTGGCCTGGGATGGGCTAGAGGCGTGGCCACCAGGAAGGGGGCGTGGCCTCCCGGAGTGGGCGTGGCCTCCTCAGCAGCTGCAGTTATATCACTCACATCAAGCACTCAGGACTCTCATCCCACAACTTGTCGCCTAATACCAACCAAAAATTTCCCACCTCTTCTACTACAATCCAATAACATCCCACTCGCCTACTCCATTTCCAACAAAGACCTGTTTGAAAATAGCTGTATAAGCTCAGTACTAAATAGCACCTTATCCAAAAGTTTCACTCAATGTCGGTTATAAAACAAAGAATAACGCCTGATTGAGAAGAAGGTCAAACTCAGAAAGGTAGAAGGGTGCGTACCATCGACCAACCTTATCCAAAATCTTTTCCCACCATAAGAGGCAACAGTATGATCTGCGCCGGACGGGAACTGAGGCCCATTTTTCGGCAACAAAACTGAACGGCTCCTGGCAGACTCTCCTCATTCAACCAGGTACAGCCTGCCCCCACGGCTTGTGACTCTCTCTGGGCATGCGCAGCTAGCTCGATCCCCTAGAATAGCCGGTTTTCTCCCTTGACCTGCGCGGGATGGGAACTGAGGCAACATCCCATCTCTTGGCAACAAAGCTGAACGGATCCGGGAACTCTCTCCTCACTCAACCAGAAAAGTAACAGTGAACGTGAAGGACTAAACCACACTGGGCACAATGGTAAATCAACACAAAAGCCCACCAAACTTTCTTATTGAAGAGATTAGTTCAGAAGACACCAACAGTTTTGTAGTGTTAGACAACCTCTCTGACAAGGAATTCAGAAGGGAGCTACTTAGGATGCTTAGGGAACTAAAAGAAACAATGGAAAGCAATGCCAATAAAAGACAAGAGGATTTGAAGGCAGAAATGAGGAAAATGCAATCGGAAATGTCGGACCTGAAAAACCTGGTGGCGAATTGAAAAACTCAGTGGAAGGCCTCAGAAGCAGAGTAAGAGCTGCTGAGAACAGAATCAATGAGCTCGAAGATGAAGTTTAGAGACTCACCAGAAAAGAGCAGAAAATAGAAAAGAGACTCACAGTTCGGGAACAGATGGCAAGAGAAGATCGTGATGAAGCCAAGAGGGGTAACATAAGAATTATTGGAGTACAAGAGGGACAGGAAGAAAACCTTGATGAAGAAGAAACTGTCAAAGACATCATTGCTACAACATTTCCAGAGCTGAAGAAAACTTGTGACCACATTCAGGAGGCCCGAAGGATACCAGCTAGAAGAAATCCCAATAAAAATACCCCAAGACACATCCTGATCAAAATGACCAAAACTTTAGACAGAGACAAAATTCTGAAAGCAGCAAGATCGAAGAAAGAAATCTCTTACAAAGAAGCATCCTTAAAATTCACAGTTTATTTTTCTGATGAAACCCTCATGGCCCCAAAACAGTGGTGGGACATAGTGAAAAAACTCAATGAAATAAATGCCTCTCCAAAAATACTTTACCCAGCGAGACTCTCATTCATAATAGAAGGAACAACACACAGTTTCACAGACAAACAACAGCTCAGGAACTTCATAGACGCAAAACCATGGTTACAAGTACAATTAAATGGGCTACTTTAAGGCAGGACAGGCCCCTCAAATACACCTAATTTCTACAGAACAATGGGACAAAATCCCATAACAATAATCTCTCTCAATGTCAATGGGCTAAACGCACCAATTAAAAGACATAGAGTGGCAGGATAGATTAGAAAATTGAACCCAACATTCTGCTGCCTGAAAGAAACACATCTCAATAGTCAAAGCAAACACAGACTCAGAGTCAAAGGCTGGAAAAAAATCCTACAGGCAAACAGCTCCCATAAAAAAGCTGGGTTAGCCATCTTAATATCAGACCACATCGATTTCAGAGTGAAGAAGGTCATAAGAGACAGTGAAGGCCATTTCTTATTGATCAAAGGATCTGTGCAACAGGAAGAACTTACAATAATAAATGTATATGCACCTAATTAGAGACCAGCAAAGTACTTAAAACAACTACTCATAGATTTGGAAAAAGACATCAATAGCAACACAATACTAGTGGGAGACTTCAACACCGCTTTGTCACCTCTTGATAGATCAACCAGACTCAAGCTTAGCAAGGACATACTTCATCTGAGGGAAACAATGGAAGAAAGGGACTTAGTAGATATATACTGGACACTTCATCCTCAAAAAGCTGAATACACATTCTTCTCAAGCGTACATGGAACATTCTCCAAGATAGACCACATGCTGAGTAACAAAACATACCTCCATGAAATTAAGAAGCTAGAGATTGTATCAACAATCTTCTCAGACCATAATGCGCTGAAATTAGAAGTAAATCATACACAAAAACAGAAAACTAAATCAAACACCTGGAAATTAAACAGTGCGATATTGAACAACGAGTGGCTTAGAAAGGAAATCAAAGAGGAAATCAAAAGATTCCTAGAAATGAATGAAAATGAGGACATGAGTTACCAAAACTTATGGGACACAGCAAAAGCTGTCTTAAGAGGAAAGTTTATAGCTCTACAAGCATTCCTCAGAAAGGAGGAGTGAGCCCACATAAATAAACTAACCTCACAGCTTAACAGCTTGGAGGAGGACCAACAAAAGGAGCACAACCTGAACAGGAGGAAGGAAATAATAAAACTCAGAGCAGAGATTAACGAGATGGAAACCCAAAAAATAATCCGAAAGATCAATGAAACCAAGAGCTGGTTCTTCGAGAAAATTAACAAGATCGATAAGCCTCTAGCAAAACTCACAAAGAAAGGAAGAGAGAAAACCCTAATAAACCGAATCAGAAATGAAAAGGGGGTCATAACAACAGAAACTACAGAAATTCAAAGGATCCTCAGGGAGTACTTTGAGAAGCTTTATGCCACGGAACATCAAAACCTCGAGGAAATGGATAAATTCCTAGACTCCTACAGACTCCCAACGCTGAACCAAGAAGACCTGGAATACCTGAACAGACCTAACACCATCAAGGAAATTGAAATGGTAATAAAAAGTCTCCCCAAGCACAAAAGCCCTGGCCTGGATGGATTCATTAGTGAATTCTTCCAAATCTTTAAAGAAGACTTACTCCCAATCCTCTTAAGCTTTTCCACGAAATTGAAATATCAAAAACACTTCCGAACAGTTTCTACGAACCAATATCACACTGATACCAAAAGCAGACAGAGATACCACAAAGAAAGAGAATTACAGGCCGATATCCCTGATGAACACAGATGCAAAGTTCCTCAACAAACTACAAGCAAATAGAATCCAACTACTCATCAAAAAGATCATACAACATGACCAAATAGGATTCATCCCAGGGATGCAAGGATGGTTTAACATTCGGAAATCAATCAACATAATCCATCATATCAACAAAAGAAAAGATAAAAAGCATATGATCATATCAATAGATGCAGAGAAAGCAATTGACAAGATCCAGCACCCCTTTATGGTGAAACCCTAGCCAAAATGGGTAGAGAGGGGACTTTCCTCAACATAGTTAAAGCCATCTACCACAAGCCTACAGCAAGCATCATCCTCAATGGGGAAAAACTGAGAGCCTTCCCTGTAAGATCAGGGAACGAGACAAGGATGCCCACTCTCTCCACTGCTGTTCAATATAGTACTGGAAGTACTTGCAATAGCGATTAGGCAAGAAAAAGTTATTAAGAGCATTCAGGTAGGAAAGGAAGAAATCAAGCTCTCTCTATTCGCAGATGATATGGTACTATACTTAGAGAACCCAATAACCTCCACCAAGAAACTCTTAGGAACAATAGGCTTGTATACTAAAGTTGCAGGCTATAAAATCAATACCCAAAAGTCCATGGCTTTCCTATATGCAAACAGTGAGAGAGAGGAAAGCTACATGAAAAAAACAATCCCGTTCACAATCGTGCCCCAGAAAATCAAGTACCTAGGAATCAGCTTAACTAAGGAAGTAAAGGACCTGTACAAAGAAAACTACAAAACGCTACTTTGGGAAATAAAAGAGGACATGAGGAAATGGAAAGATATCCCCTGCTCATGGGTCGGGAGACTTAACATTGTCAAAATGGCAATACTACCGAAAGCATTGTATAAATTCAATGCAATTCCTATAAGGATACCCATGACATTCTTCAAAGAAATGGAGCAAACACTCCTGAAATTTATATGGAACAATAAGCCCCCACGAATAGCTAAAGCAATTCTTGGGAAAAAGAAAATGGGAGGAATCAACCTCCCTAACTTCAAACTCTACTACAAGGCAGTAAAAATTAAAACAGCATGGTACTGGAACAAAGGCAGAACTGCATACCAATGGAACAGGGCTGAATACACTGACATCTCCTCAATCATATGATCATCTAATCTTTGATAAAGGTGCAAGAAATGTGAAGTGGAGTAAGGAAAGCCTCTTTAACAAATTGTGCTGGCATCACTGGACGGCTACATGCAAGAAATGGGCTCAGAACTCTGCCTAACACCATGTACAAAAGTAAGATCAAAATGGATTAAAGACCTCAACATCAGACCAGACATCATAAGGTACATTGAAGACAAAGTTGGCAAAACCCTCCATGACATTGAAGCTAATGGTACTTTCAAAGATGCCATGCCACTGGCCGAGCAAGTGAACACAGAGATAGATAAATGGGAATATCTTAAACTAAGAAGCTTCTGCACCTCCAAAGAAACAGTGACCAAAATACAAAGACAGTCTACAGAATGGGAAAGGATATTCGCCGAATACACATCTGACAAGGGGTTGATATCAAGGATATACAAAGTACTGGTTGAACTCCACAAGAAGAAAACATCCAACCCCATCAAAAAATGGGGCAATGAAATGAACAGAAACTTTCTCAAAGAAGAAATCAGAATGACAAAAAATCACATGAGAAAATGCTCTACATCATTAATTATCAGGGAGATGCAGATCAAAACCACAATGAGATACCATCTCACACCTCAGAGACTGGCCCACATTCAAAAGAACAAAAGCAACCTATGCTGGCACGGATGTGGCAAGAAAGGGATACTCCTTCACTGTTGGTGGGAATGCCGACTAGTTCAGCCCTTTTGGAAAACAGTATGGACGTTTCTCAAAAAATTAGAAATTGAGCTCCCATTTGACCCAGCGATACCACTCCTGGGAATATATCCCAGAGAGGCAAAAATGTGTAGTCGAAGTGACATCTGCACTTGTTTGTTCATTGCAGCACTCTTTACAATAGCCAGAAACTGGACGAAACCTGACTGCCCAAAAACAGATGACTGGTTAAAGGAAACTTTGGTACATCTACACAATGGAGTACTATGTAGCTCTTAGAAAAGATGAAGTCATGAAATTTACATACAAGTGGTACAATATGGAAAGTATCATGCTAAGCGAAATGAGTCTGAGAGAGAGGGATAGACATAGAAAGATTGCATTCATCTGGGGGATATAAAGTAACAAAATATGAGATTAATACCCAAGAATAGCTGAGATCAACACCAGGAGGATTACTCCATAGCTTAGAGGCCAGCCGGGCATTCTAGGGGAAAGGGCAGCTCAGATAGAGAAGGGAGCACCAAATAAAGGGTGTTTGGAGGATCCTCCCAGGAGGTGAGAGGCATGTTGAAAGTAGACTATGGACTGAACATGTTTGCCACTCAGTGCCTCTTTTGCAGACTCTAACACCCAAAAGGAGAGAGAGAACAAAAGGGAATGCCCTGCCACAGAGGCAGGGTGGGAGGGGGCGGATGAGGGGGGGATATTATCCATGGTGGTGGAAAATAGGCACTGGTGGAGGGATGGGTATTTGATCATTGTATAACCGAAACTCAAGAACAAAGATTTTTAAATCTACAACCTTACCTCATGGTGCTTCACTAATAAAAAAAATAAATTAAAAACAAAAAGAAATTAGTAACTAATTCATAGGCTCTTTTGATTGATCTGAAAGTGCCCAGTAATCTACAGCGGAAGTAGCATTTTGGTGGTAGGGTAGTAACACTGTTCTCCTAAAACATACAAACACTTATACTCCTGTAAGTCAACATTATACTGCACTGTATCACTGTCACACTGTCTTCCCATTGTTCATCAATTTGCTTGAGTGGGCACCAGTAATGTCTCCATTGTGAGACTTGTTGTTGTCATAACATTATATTAGTGCAAATAAAATTTTCTCAAATGTACTTTTCATTTTGATGCCTCAAGGTCCTGTGAAACATTCAGAACATGTTCTAAGACCTGCTATTTTGCAGCCACCACAAGTACAAAGATGTGAAAAAGTAAGAAGAACGTTTGGACACGATGCACTGGAACTCCGCAACATTAAAGAAATTGCAAAACATAAGGCAAAAAAACCTCTTATGGTAGGCCTGACCTCACTCCCTCCTTGAGTGCATAGTTGTGGGCCCCACATCTACAGGCAGGGTCTGCCTGAACTTTTTTCTAGAGCTGAAGTTGCCAGCAAACTAGAGAAACACTGGCCGTTATTGGTTATCTCATTCAAATTGTTCTCTTCATTTGGAGCATTGTTGCCGAACAAACTCTGATTTCTGTCCTAAACTATAAAGTTGAGGCCTAGGTAGTGAGAACCTAGACCTTTGTTCTTAACACTGATATCTCTTAAGGAGACCAATGAGGTGGCAGGGGCTGGAGACGTAAATCAAAAAAGAGACAGATGTTCTGTATCCCCAACTGGTCACCAGTCAGCATGGCTTTGTCATGTTCTGTATCCCCAACTGGTCACCAGTCAGCATAGCCCATCTTCACGGGATAATGGAGTCGGGAACAGCTACAGTGTCATTGGGAAGACTTGAGAAACCTTTGGATAATGACCAGAATCTCAAATTTCAGTTTTAATGAGGAAAATATTCAAAATAATTTTTTTTTTTATAATTTATTTATTTAATGAATCACTGTGGGAAAAGTTACAGAGCTTTCGGGTTTAGGTCTCAGTCATGTAGATACCGAACACATTTCCCTTTACCAATACTCATTTTTAACCCCGAACCCCAATAGACCCCCACCTCCCACCCCTCCCAATTCTTATGAGGCAGATGAGTTCTAGTTAATACTCTATCTACTTTGACTAGATAGATTATTTCGATAGAAGATGCACAATTATTGTTTAGAGTTTACGACCCCCCCCCCCCAATCAGACATGCTGAAACAGCGTTGTGAAATGATTTGCTTTCTACAACTTGGTTTAAGAATAAAATGATGTCGCGGCCGCGCGGTTTTGAATTTCTGCTATTTTACTTATTGACCCTGGAAGAATTTCTATTAAAAGTTAGCTAGTTAAGAGATTGATTTCTGTGCCCTGGAGTCGTGGCCGTGCCGGAGAGCCGCTCGTGGGGGGCAGCTGGCGACCTCGGTGGGGCGTGGGGGACGGCCCACAAAGCCCCCCTTCCCATGAGGTCCCCGCCGCTTCCCCGAGCCCGGCTCAAACCCGCTTTCCACAAGGCTCCCGTGCGGCCGCCATCTTTCTTTCCAGAGAGGAGCGGGCGGGCCGGTCATCGCCCTTCCCCCTCTGGGCAGGCTTGGTGGCGCGGATCAACACAAGTCCATTTGCTTTTCTGCTCCAAGCGGCTGGTTCTCTGTGCTAAGTCCTTGTGCCTCCGGGGCCGTGGCCGTGCCGGAGAGCCGCTCGTGGGGGGCAGCTGGCGACCTCGGTGGGGCGTGGGGGACGGCCCACAAAGCCCCCCTTCCCATGAGGTCCCTGCCGCTCCCGCCGAGCCCAGCTCAAACCTGCTGTCCACAAGGCTCCCGTGAGGCCGCCATCTTTCTTTCCAGAGAGGAGCGGGCGGGCCGGTCAACACCCTTTCCCCTCCGGGCAGGCTTGGTGGCGCTGTTTAACACATAGTCCATTTGCTTTTCTGCTCCAAGCGGCTGGTTCTCTGTGCTAAGTCCTTGTGCCTCCGGGGCCGTGGCCGTGCCGGAGAGCCGCTCGTGGGGGGCAGCTGGCGACCTCGGTGGGGCGTGGGGGACGGTTAAAATAATTTTTATTGTGTGATACAAAATTAAAGTGGAGTGCCTGGAGCAATAGTACAGTGGGTAGAATGGTTGCCTTGCATGTGGCAGGTTCAATCCCTGGGACCACATATGGTTCCCCAGGCCCTGCCAGGGGTGATCCCTGAGCACATAGCCAGGATCAAGTCCTGAGCACCATGAGGTGCTGTCCAAAACCAAAACCAAGCAAACAAGTAAATAAAGTTGAAAATATGTTCCTTAAAGATATGCTCCCTGCAACATCTTGGCAAATTTTTAGTGGAGGAGGAAAGATATTCATAAAATACTGGAGACTACCAGATCAGATCATCCACAACTTCCTTTCAGTTCTAAAACTACTCCCTCTTTAATCATTCAGATAATGTGGATTTGTGTATGCACATGAGTAGAGCAACTAATTAATTCAATTCTAGCCAAGTGTTTCTAAATAAAGAGATAAAAGTGACTTACTCTGACACTGAGTGGCCATGGTAGTGAAGCTTATAAGATTTTTCCAGGGTTTAAGTAGTTCCCCCAGATAGATTTACTAAACTAGAAAGGAGAATTAACTCCATTTGACTAAAACAGTCAAAGCAAAGAGAGATAGAAGCTGATTATCCTGACTGAGTCTATAGTTTCTTGTGTCAGACAGACCCAAGGTTAAATGTCATCTCTGTTTCTAATTGCCCAAGCATGGTCAAGTAATTTCAGTTTTTCTTTTTTATTAGTTTATTTATCTGTAAAATATGGATGATAGAGGTACAGATGTTGTGAGGAGTAAATGAGATAATATACATCCAATGCTTAGTACTTAGACATGGTATGTTTTCCACATATTTAAGTGTAGTTCCTTAGTCTTACATTTCTTAGTAAAGCCATTTAAGTGAATATTTTGATGAATTTATTTTCTTTTAGATTCCTGGAGAAACTGCCTATTTTCTAAGTGAAAATTTACCGAGTGCCAGAATTTCAGTCCAGTTGTCTATGAACCAGAATACTTTAGGTGCTTCATCTGCAGGGTAAGTGAATGATGAGTAGAGAGTAATGTTATTTACTGTTTGGGATTTTTTTATCACTATGACAATTTTTGGAAAATTATTTTCTGGTCCTATAACATAAACTACCAAGATTTCTTAATTAAGGTCATAATAAACATTTCCTTGCCTTTATTACCTTATTGACTTCTATGAGAAGGTTCAAGAAGATAGAAATTTTGGGGCTGGAGCAATAGCACAGTGGGTAAGGCGTTTGCCTTGCATGTGGCTGACCCAGGTTCGATTCCCAGTATCCCATATGGTCCCCCGAGCACCACCAGGAGTGATTCCTGAGTGCAAAGCCAGGAGTAACCCCTGGGCATTGCCGGGTGTGACCCAAAAAACAAAAAAAAAAGAAGAAATTTTTATTTAATGAGGCACCTTTCTGCTAGATTACCCTTTCTTCCCCTTCTCTTGATATTCTTTTTTCTCCCTTTTTCAGTTTTCTGGGGGTGGGGCAAGGGTATTATTCATTTATTGACACGGGATGGAGAAACAGTTCAGAAAACATTTTAAACATGCTAAGTGAAAGTTAATATTCCACCAAATAAGAGGGCCTATTTGATTGAGAAGAGGATCAAAACTAGTTGTGGACATAATAGATTCACATCTTTGGGGCTCTGTGGCCCATACAGGATCTGCGAGCACCCTGGGGTGCTGTGGGAGCTTGGAGCACTTCCGCCATAGAGAGAGGACTGCATATCCACAAATTTCTTACCTTGTAAAAAATACTTTCAACATTTCAAAAGTGTTTCGGGGGGGGGGGGAATTAAATCAAGACATACACACTGTAACTTAACTTGTCTTTCTCTTTGAGATCTCTGCTAATTAAAAACATTGGTCACTTAGAAATTGCAGATTGATCATTTTCAACTATCATTGTCATAGTGATTCCTTTTCTATCCTAATTGCACATCTCCTCACACACCCCACCCCACCCTGCCCCACTGTGACAAGCTTCCAATTGTGGAGATATATGATCACTCTGGACAAGAGCTGGGGGCTGAAAGTAGGTAAAGGGATACACATGATAAGCTTTCAATACTTGTATTGCAAATCATAATGCCAGAAGAGGGGGAAGAGAGAGAGAACGAGAGTGAAAGAGAGAGAGATTGAGAGAGAGAGAGAGAAAGAAAGAGAGAGAAGAGAGAAAGTGAGGCAGGCTGGTGAAAGGGTGCTAGTGGGAGGGATACTGGGGATACCAGGGGTGGAAAACTTACACTGGTGAAGGGGCAGGTGGAACACTATATGACTGAAACCTAACCATGACCAACTTTGAAACTATGTATCTCACGGTGATTGAATTATTTTTAAGTGCAGTTTGGAGAATTTGACCGGAAAAGCAAAAAGTACACATTATCTGGATAGTACGCTCTCTTCCCCCACTGATCAGTACAGTCAGTGATAGGGCTTCAGACTTGTTCAGACTGGCCTAGGCAAATGCTCCAATGCCAACTGTGAGATATTGTGAATATATCTCTGGCAGTACCTCTCTCAATATGAAGACAGTACCTCCCTTCATATCTCGTGAACATCACAGAAAGATACTTATGCTTTACATAAATATATTAAACTATAGGACGTTCCACACACTGAGACTGAAAACTGTTTTATTCTGATATTTGACTGCAAATGCTTATTTCTTTTCCTAGATGCCAACCAAATGAGGATAAGAAAGCCTTTAAAAGTTGCAGCTCTGATTTCATATTTGGAGAAAACATGGTGGAAAGAGTTTTGGTAGGGTTTGTTGAAAATTTCTATTATTATATAGGAGCTGTCGCTTCAAATTTCTGAGAACAAATTAATCAAAATTATGTTAAGTTGGGGCACACTTTTAATTTTTAACCTCTGGGATTAAAGTCACTTTTTCTTTTTTAACTAGAATAATTTTCATGGAAGCAAGTCCTGATGGTTAGAATAACAGATAGGAATCCACAGAGAAAGAGAGTTGTACAATTAGAACATGATTACTTATGAGAAATGTTAAATATTTATTTGATTCATGTTAAACCAATGGATCTCAAGAAAGCCCAGAATCATTTGTAATAGTTGAATAAGCACAACTGGTTGTAATATTTTAATATAGTTTTTAATGACTTTTTTGTGACAAGGTACATTTAAAATGACTTGCCAATATGATCTCATTAACCCAATTGTATTCTTCAAGCTCCTACATTGAAAAGTATTGTTGTAGCTTCCTACACCCCTTAGCTTTCAGAAGAAAACAGTGCTTTATTTTCCTGAGGAAATATATTTACCAAATGGAAAACCCTAACTATACAAACTGTCATCTTAAATATTGAACACCAGGCTACATACCACATGCAACTATAAGTTCTTTGTCCTCCAAACTACATAGTTTTTAACCAGAGAAAAATGTACAGAAGGAAAGTCTACAGCAAAGTGAAAACTGTGCATAAAATGTCTCTGATTTCATCTAGTGCCTCACATTTTTATACCTTTTCCAGTGTTAACCCAGCCTTGAACTTTTTTTTTTTTTTTGGCTTTTTGGGTCACATCCAGTGATGCTGAGGGGTTACTCTTGACTTTGCATTCAGGAAACACTCCTGCCAGTGTTTGGGGGACATTATGGGATGTTGGGGACGGAAACCAGGTGGGCCGCGTGCAAGGCAAATGCCCTACCTACTATACTATTGCTCTGGCCTCCCCAGCCTTGAACTTTGGCTGAGCTAATCCAAGATGGGTAGTTTGTTTTAGTGCTCAGCTAGATGAAGAATCTCAAGAATGCTGTAGAAATTTCAAAACCTATGTTAGAGCTTATATTTTACAAAAGAACAATTTAAGAAGTCAGTTATTCCAAGATGGTTAAGGGTGTCACGAAACAATCACTTTAAAGACCTCATTGATTCTAAACCTGCCTCAAGCTAACACCCAATTTCAAGAGTATCATGGATTTTTTAGCTTAAAAAATCTGCTGAAGGCAAACTTCAGCAATCTGAGAGCTGTTGGCCAGTATCTTGAATCTGAACTAGAGTGGACTTTCTGAATAAATTGATAAAATAAATTTAGAAACATTTATTCCATATCCTTTGGAATGAGTAGGTGGTGATGTAAAATAAAGATAACTTTCTGATCTAGAGGTGTTGATCATCTAGTAAGGGAAGACCTAGGTAACCTAGACAAAAACTCTAATTGGAACTATTAAATTGGTTTGAGAAGGCAAAAGTACGGTTTCCTCTGGGAACCTAACTTTGGCTTACAGGGGAAAGTGGCCTTCCCATTTCTTCCAGGTAATAAGATCCTCTGACGGCAGGAGCTCCAACAAAACTTGATTTTGTTTCTTTAGCTCATTTTAGATTTATCCTCCAGCTCATTCTAACTAGAATGGATCATAATCGGAGCCAGCATACCCTCCTGACTTGTTAGCTGACCCCACAATTTTAGGCAAAATCGCTAAACCTTTGCTGCTTTCATTTCTATTTTCTTAAAATGGAAAATCTTAATGTACAACTAAATAAAGTGAAAGAATCTTAAGACTCTCAGGGAAAACCCATACTTCTCCATTCTGAAGCATCATCATCCCTATTCCCTAGAAGTCACATAGGAGTATAAATGGCAGGATAATTACTCAGCCTTTTTTTTTCTCATTGAAGCTTTGATCACAACTCATATGCTGATCCTGAAAATAGAGCCTAAAAGCAACTACTGGCAGAAATGCATTTAGTAGAAAAATAAGGACTCTTTCCACAAGGGAGCTCTCTGAAACAGCCAGTGAATTTTCTGGATAAATTTTTAATTTCTCTAATAAGTGGACACAAAGAATAAATAACTGGAAATACTGAATATGTTCACAAACCAGAGTGGCACTGCTTTCCAACTGCTGGCTAATCTGGTGGTAGCATGGTACAATCACTTTTTTATTTGGGGCTATGATATCTCCCTTTGTTATCCCCTTAACAAGGTCTCACCCAAGTATGTGGGTGGTGAGTGGGTTGTTTACTAAGGCTCAGGAGCAAGTTCTGATAAGCACATAGGAATCTCCAAACAGAAATAGTAGCTGCGTTTGTTTGCCAATATGTTGAAATAGAACAAAGGCATGTTTTGGCTTCCTGCAGATATTTAGGATAAAATTTAATAATACATTTTTTTCTCTCTTCGCCTAGGGTATTCAAAAACTCACCCAGATTCAAACTGAAAATGTTTCCTACACCAAGGAAAAACTACTCAAATCCTCTCTAAAATTTCCTATTGATTCTCCAAGTTCAAGTAAGAATGATCTCATTCATCTTGTTTCCTCTTCCCCGTTTTCCTATGTCATTTATTTCACATAGATTAAAGACAAAACAACGACCTTGTCTTAGAAACTTTTGGTAAAGATTAAGGCATAGAAGTGTGGTTACATTGGTGAAAAAAAGAGACCCCTGCCCACGTTTCAAACAGACTAACACAAGAGAGCAGGAGCAGCCGAGTCTGGGTGATATGATGCAACCGTGGAATGCATTCTGGATGTCCTTCACATGTAGCCTCGCTTTGTAACCTTGGTAACCTGGGAATGTAGCTCAAAGTGCTCATGTTTTTGAGGTGACCCAGATGGTGCTCTGAAAAATACCGTGCTTGGAAATTTCTGCTTCTTTACTCTCTTGCTTGCTGCTTGCAAATGTCCATTCCCTATCACACACTCTAAAACGGAGCTCCTGCCTTTGTCTTCACTCAGTTCTGAGCATGAGCTCCAACTGGTCCACTAGTGTAATAAAGCAGAGTTTCCGCACTTCTCAAGGAGTGCTGCTTGGTTTTTTCACTGGCTTTTGGTGGGAATTTCCACTATAACATATTATATAAGCCTTTACATTTTTTGACTTAATGATACAGAGTATGATTAGAGTCTTACCTCATTTCAAGTAGTTTGACTTTTTTTTCTGGAAATATTTATTGTTATAAAAGTTTTAAGGAAATCTGTGTGATAATAGGCAAAAAAAAAAAAGCTTTCACAGTAGATAAAACGAGGTCCTTTATGTGTTTTCCTTTTTCCTCTAGGAACAGACTCTATTAAAAATATATCACTCATTGAATCAGCTGCTGCCTTCTCCTCTAAACCATCATCAAAATGCTTGCTGGAAAAAATTGTTGTGATAACAGGGGAGGAAGCAGAACATAATGTGCTAAAGGTCTGTATGTTATGCACTGTGCTTCCTAGTTGAACTTACACATTACAAACACATAATAAAGTGACCATCAACATGGACTGTAGCACTGTAGCACTGTCCTTCCGTTGTTCATCGATTTTCTTGAGAAGGCACCAGTAACATCTTCATTGTGAGACTTGTTGTTACTGTTTTTGGCATATCGAATACATCATGGGTAGCTAGCTTGCCAGGCTTTGCCATGCGGGTGAAATACTCTTCGTAGCTTGCCAGGCTCTCCGAGAGGGACAGAAGAATCGAACCCAGGACATCTTTTAAAATGTGGGGCAATGGAAAGGTAGCACAGCTGACTGAGCACACCCTCTGCTCATAGAAGGTCGCAGTCCCTGTCATCACATGGGCCCTGGCCTCCTCCAGGAGCATCCCTTAGCACAGAGGTGAGAGTATGCTCAAGCACCCATAGGTGTGGTCCTTCCGCACTTCCTAACACAAAGATACAAGTATAGTTCTCATGAAGATTAAGAGACTTAAATAAAGTTGTTAGAGGCTTTCAACAACTTATTTAATATTTCATTGTAGTTTTACACTTGCATGTGTGATTTTCAAGGGGAAAAGAGTTAATGAGCTTACACCAATTCAATCTCATAATTCCTTAGGAAGAAGACAAACAAGGACCCTATTGAAAAATAAATTCATGTCTAGAGATCTGGCATAGTGGTTAAAGCACTTGTCTTGCACGTGTATGACTTTGGCTCAGTCCCTTGTTCTCCCTATGGTTCCCTGAGTACCACCAGGAGTGATCCCTAAGCACAGAGTCAGTAGTAAGCACTGACCATAGCTGGGTATGACTCAACCTCACTACCACAAAAACGTACACAGACATACTGATAATGCAGATCTGTTTTTATACTTTCATACCTACTTTCATCATCATTGCCATTCCATACATTTAAAAAATCCTTTTTTATACTGAAAGTTTTAAAATGCTGATAAAATTAGTTGATTTCAGTTCACGATAGTGAAAAGATATTAAATAAGTTTTCATTTTTTTTATAAATCAAGAATTTAACACAAATCAAGAATTTCACAGACTTTGAATGCTATCAATTTGGGTATATAAAATATAATTACTGCAACATAATCAATTTTCAAAAAAAAGCATGATTTTCTTTTGCCTTTCTACTCTCTCTATTCCTCTTCTCTTACCCAGTCTATTGCTACATATACCATACAAGAGTATCTCAAACTCTTGTTTGAGTTCAAGGCAAGCATGACTGTGATCATGTTAACCCTAGACATAGTGATATAACACTAACAGTGAGGCCTGGGCATGCTATATTTCTAATAGGTCATTTAGGTGATTTCTAATGCACACTAATTTTTGAGAATTACTGGTAAGAATTAAATTATGATAGGGTACTCAGTGATATCTTACTCCTCGTGTTGTATTCTTTGTAGTTGTTAAGCATGAAAGTATGTTTGAGATTCCTTTACTTTCAAATAAATTACATAGGGGTTGAGAGATAGTACAGGGGTTACTTACCTTGCATGCAGTCAACCCCCACTCAATCTCCAGCACCACCAGGAGTGACTCTTGAGCACAGAGTCAGAAAAATTGCTTAATACCACCCAGTCCAAACAAACAAAACAATTTTTCTAAATTTGCTTGTTTGGGGATTTGGGGGGAACAAAAACCAGCAATGCTCAGTGGTTATTCCTGGCTCTGCACTCTGGAATTGCTCCTGGCCATACTCAGGTGACCATATGGGATGCCAAGGATGAAACCTGGGTCAGCCACATGCAAGGTGTACTGCCCTACCCATTGTACTCTCTCTCTGACTCCACCAACAATGCAATTTTAAGCCTTATTTAGAAGTTGGCATGTACATAGTGCATTGTTGGGACTGAGGGGTAGTACAGAGGGGGTTAATGTGTTTGGCTTTCATCTCATTGACTCTGGTTCTATCCCTGGCACCACATGTGCCTCCCCCAAATTTCTCAAAGTGATGATCCCTGAGTACAGAGCCAGAAATAAGCTCTGAGTACCACTGTATATGAGCTACCCCCAACCCCCTACCCAAATTATGAAAGATTAAGTTTAAAAAAGTAAAATATAGAAAGCATGCATGATGTATTTCTATTTGTGGGGGAAAATTGAATATCTATATTATTGATTTGTATATATGTGCATATATATGTAAATGTATATATCAGTGCAGATATCTTAAAAGAAATGTTAACAACAGTTTCCAGTTATGGTGGGGGTGCTTTTCATTTTGGATATCTTTTTACTTATTGATGTTTGCACTATTTAAAACCTGTATGTTTTTAAAGGTTAACTGTTGAAAACTGGTTCATAAATCATTAACTAAGATTATTCTGGTAAAAGATCAACAGATAAAAGTGTTAGGGTATTGGAAACAATTTACTTCAAAAAAGAATTCCATATATATATATTGAATTCCATATATTTTTACATTAAAAAATTCTCCTTCAGATCAACTGTAAGCTCTTTATATTCAACAAAACAACACAGTCCTGGACTGAACGAGGCAGAGGCACTCTCAGACTGAATGACAGAGCGAGCAGTGACTGCGGGACCTTCCAGTCTAGACTAAGTAAGGAATCATTACATAAATAAGCCACTATTTCTTGGAGTAGCATTACCATGACAGAGATTCATTCTTCTGAGATGTGTTGTGAAATATGTCACTGAAAGAGACTGCTTAAAACCATATTGTATCTAATACACTGTTGGAGATTGTGTTTAAAGCAGGCTCTGAAGTCAGACTGTACAGGGCCCCATTCTGGTTCTATCACTAACTGGTGGCCTTGGACAAGTTACTTAATCTTTCCGTCCTTGTTGCATCAGCTTAAAGGAGGATAACAGAAGGCCATGACATATGGTGTGACTGTGAAAACATCATAAGAAGGCACATAACCCATCCTTGACCAAGCCCAGTATTCATCAAAAGAGGGCTCTCATGGTTATTTGAAGGCGTATAATGCAACTTATTTTTTAAAGGGAAAGAGCTTGGGGCTGGAGTGATAGCACAGCAAGTAGGGCTGCTTGCCTTGCATGTAGCTGACCTGGGTTCGATTCCCAGAATCCCATGTGGTTCCTGAAGCACCACCAGGAGTGATTCCTGAGTACAGAGCCAGGAATAACTGCTGACCATCACCAGGTGTGGCCTCAAAACAAAACCCCCCAAAACTTAAAAATTAAGTGAAATAGGTTTTTTCTAAAAAAGAATATCTAGTGGAAGGACAGAGACATACTACAGGAGATTGAGATGCTTGCCTTACATGTAACTGACCCTGGTTCTAACCCACTGTTACATATTGTTCCCTGAGCACCACTCAGGGGTAACACTAGAGTACAGAACCAGAAAAGATGTCTGTGCACAGCTAAGTATGGTCCACCCTTTGCCCCAAATTATAATTTAAAACATTCTCTATAACTTATCCTTATTATTCTAAGCATGGTGCATGGGTTGAGACAAAGGGTCTGGTGCCAAGGAAATAGAGGTATGAGGTTATTGATTCCTGCAGGCAGAACAATGGTCAAAATCTGGAATCAGTCACCTGGGATGAGACATAAGAGTTCTGGTATTCAAAATAACACATTGGGTATTCATTGTTCAGGGAACAAACTAATAAATGGTGCAGGAAAATTCTGGGGTGGGGAGGTGGGTCTATGGATCAATATTGGGGAGCTCAAAGGTTGTGAGATTGAATGCACCCTATAGATGCTTCTTGAGTTTCATTTCTTAAGTGTCAAATCTTAATAGTTAAAATTTTTGTTTCATGGTACAGGATAATAACCCAAAAACAAGTACCTTGTATGCATGGACACTTGAGTTCAATCCCTGAACCACAGGAACCCACATAAGTACCACTGGGTATGAATCAGGTTGGCTCAAACACCACTGAGAAGACCCCCTAGAATTTTTTGTTTTGGATGTATCTTTTATAGATATATATATATATCATTATAATATAAATAATTTATGAGTTCTAACTCAATATTCTTCAGATCTCTAGACCTTCAAGAGACTTATTCAGCTTTAAACTTTTAAAATATTGTACTGGGCTGGAGAAATAGTATAGTGGGTAGGTTGTTTGCCTTGCACGCAGTCGACCTGAGTTCAATTCCCAGCAGTGCATATTGTCCCCTGACCACCTCCAGGAGTAATTTCTGAGTACAAAGCCAGAAGTAACACCTGTGCATCACTGTATGTGATCTAAAAAGCCAAAAAATTAATATATTATACTAAAAAAATGTGGCACTAAAGTTAAACCCTATAACATATAAAGCTCAATTTGAAAACCAAGTTGTAATCTAGTTACAGTACAATAGTGAAAATATAATCTGGAAAAAAAACTGTAAGGTTTATTTTGCTTTCACAAATGACAAATCCCCTGGAAGGCTAGGGAACCAACCATTCTGTCCTCTCATACATTCATCTCCCTGTTTCAGTTATGCGCAATCAAGGCAGCCTGAGACTGATTCTCAATAGCAAACTCTGGGCCCAAATGCAGATTCAACGAGCGAACCACAAAAATTTACGAATAACAGCTACTGACTTAGAAGACTGTAGCATCAAAGTATTTTTAATTCAGGTAAGTGCTAAACATTTAAGTGGTCAAAGATTGCCTTACTATATTTATAGGTCTCTATAATTATTTGATTTTTATTTTTCATCTTATAAGAACATATGCTGTTGCCAAAATTCAGTCTTATATTGTGGTTCTTTAAAATCTAATATAAAACCAAAATTTACTATGAAAGTTTAACACCAAACAGAAAGTAATCACTTGGTACTTTCTCCATAACATTTGTATTAATGTGTGCTACAAACCTTTGTATTTTTCTTTATTATTGAAATTGTGTCAGCATTAAGTTACCAAAGCATCTATTGTCAGACTGGCTTCTAGCAGGCCTCCAGAGTCTACCACCAATACTAATACTGCAGCTGAAATTGAGAAAGCTTTGAGAAAGCTCTGAGATGACTGGAAAGGAACCAGTGAGAAATGGAAAAATACAGATCTAGCTAGTTAAAACAATCATTTCAACAGCAAATTCCAATTCTGGACATGAATCAGTCTCCAAGGTAACAGAATGGGAGCACAGCTTTGGTTGTTCCCAGCAACAGGAATGCTTGACCTCAAATACAAGATCCAGGCACAAGAGACAGAGCTAACAGGAACAAGGCCAGAAAACAGGTTGGATTTCCTCCATGGACTGAGCCACAGAAGACTGGAAAAGACTGGGTCTCTAGTAGCTCAGGCAGTAAGGGATAAGACTAGTCAACTGGCTGCCATATAGTAAAGGGGGGAGGGATGAAGTTGGCAAGGACTCACTGATGTTGTATTAACACCCAGGGTCAATACCATTGTATTAACTACCAGAGGTTGTATTAAGTAGTAGGGTTTAAATAACTACCTGTAAGGTATACGTGATATTGAACATTTAGGTGGTAGAGTGAGGGAGCCTAGAGAAATAGGACAGGGATTAAGGTACTTGTTTAGCAAGTACCTGTATCTAGCACTACATGTGGTCTCCTCTACACAACCAGGAATAATAATCCCTGACCACAGAGCCAGGAATAGTCCTCGAGCACTGGGTCTGGCTCAGTTCACTAGCCCCACCTTACCCTGAAAAAGGTGATAGAATGAGGTAATACCCACACCCTGTGTTTTAGCAAGATGATTCTTAATACTTTGCCAGCTCAGAACCCCTTTGCTTTTAAGCAAGTAGAGTTGAGTGGCATTGAGATTGGTAATCCTGATTAGATTCTACTGTTCAATATTTGATCTGCACAGACTTTTAAAATTACAGAATAGAGGGGGTATGGTGCTGCCAGCAGATCAATCTGTACCTGTGAGGCGAGTGCATCAGCAGCCTGATGGCGCCTTCAGGCTTCCAGATACCCCAAAATTGCTGCTGTGCCTTTGGCCAGACCCCAAAACTTGGGGCAAAGTTTACCAAGAAAGTAAACGGCCAAAAGTTAGGTATGTGGGAAACATACCCACAAACCACCTCCGGCTCAGCTATATAATTGGAAGCATGGCCTCTCTGGTTCCTGATCAAACTGCTTAATGGCCAAGATCCCAGAGACTCAGAAACAAATCTTGGAACCCAACGGCTTTTGGCAGAAATGCGTCCAGTCCCTGCAGTATGTTACAGGCGCTGGGCCACCCCAGGTGGGAATAGGTTTCATGCCTTGGCCTTTTCCCCCTGACGGTCCAGTGGCTGTAATCCTCCAGAGGCCACTGGACAGTCAGGTTTGGGCCCGCAGTGACGAGACACATGGGGCCTCACGGGATGGGGGTGGAGCCGTCCCTTTCCTCCCCTTCCTAACAAGACCTGAGTCGTCGCCCACGAATGGCCTCTCTGACTCCTGATCAAGCTGCTTAACAGCCATGATCCCAGAGACTCAGAAACAAATTTTGAGATCCAGCGGCTTTTGGCAGAAATGCGTCTGGATTCTGCAGTAGGTTACTGTTGCCTGGCCAACCCAGAGGGGAAAGGGTGCTGTTCCCCATTTACTCCCTCCTTGGCGGTTTGGTGGCCACCATCCACCAGAGGCCATTGGACAGTCAGGTTTGGGTCCACAGTGATGAGACACGCGGGGCCTCACGGGATGGGGGTGGAGCCAACCCTTTCCTCCCCATCCCAACGAGACCCCCAGTCACCGTCCACGAAAGGCCTCTCTGGCTCCTGTTCAAGCTGCTTAACTGCCATGATCCCAGAGACTCAGAAACAAATCTTGGAACCCAGCGGCTTTTGGCAGAAATGTGTCAGACCCTGAGTAGGTTGCTGTCACCAGGCCATTCCAGGGGGAAAAGGGTGCTGTCCCACCGCCTGCTCCCCCTTGATGGCTCAGTGGCCGCCATCCTCCAGTGGCCAGTGGCCAGTCAGGTTTGGGCCCTTAGTGATGAGACACGTGGGGCCTCACAGGATGGGGGTGGAGCCGGCCCTTTACTCCCTGTCTTAACGAGATCCCGAGTAGCTGCCCATGAACAGCCTTTCTGGCTCCTGATCAAGCTGCTAACAGCCATGATCCAAGAGACTCAGGAACAAATCTTGGAACCCAGTAGATCTTGGCAGAAATCCTTCCAGATTTAATTGTTAAAATTTCGTAGTTTCGAAATCGCACAGCCACTAATACAGCCACCCAGTATCATATGTTATTCATAAGCAGCAATAGAAAGTAAATTTTCTATTGTTACCCTTTCAGCAGATCTGAGTGTTGGGGTAAAATCCCAAATAATATGGTGGGTCTGGTGTCAAAATATTGAATGTAATCAAAGTAGAGAGTAATGTGGAAATCATCTGCCCTGCAGGTGGGGGGAGGGTCTGGGATGGGGGCATACTGTGGTTTTTGGGGGTGGAGAATGGGCACTGATGAAGATAAGGGTGTTTCATTGTATGACTGAGACTTAAACCTGAAAGCTTTGTAACTGCTCTCATGGTGATTCAATAAATAAAATTTTTAAAAAATGGAAAAAAATAGTAAGGTGAAGTTCATGCCCAATTCAATCAGCTAATCAGTGGCTGGATAAATAGCAGTACTCCTACACACACACAAAAAATTACAGAATAGGGGGCTGGAGTGATAGCACAGCAGGTAGGGCATTTGCCTTGTACGTGGCTGACACAGGTTTGATTCCCAGCATCTCATACGGTCCCCTGAGCACCGCCAGGAGTAATTCCTGAGTGCACAGCCAGGAATAATCCCTGTGCATTGCTGGGTGTGACCCCAAAAGCAAAAAAAAATAATAAAATAAAATTACAGAATAGATTTTGAAGATAACAAAATACAATTTCAAAAAAACCACCCAAATTTCACTTCCAGAAAGGGTCATTATTAACATTTAAAATTCAGTACTTCAGTATGCATGTTTGTATATGTATATATATATGGATGTATATGTGAATTAATACATCTACATCATACGATCCTTATTATACTTGTACTTCACATACTATATGATCTTTGGGCAAGTTTTTTAGTCTTCTTTCATAAGACTTCAGTTATCTGTCAAGTAAAAATAATGATTATGTACTTTATAAAGCTGTTGAGTTAAATAACTGGTATTCACTGTGAAACATACATAGATAACTTTTATCACTAAAAGTGTTTCTATGTTATACTATTTTTCAAATATACTTCTAATAAATTAAAAGAATTCCATTTTGTTATGACCATTATTTATTCCATTAATCCTATTTTGTTAAAGACAGCTCGGGACTGGAGAGATAGCACAGTGGGTAGGGCATTTGCCTCGCACGCGGCCGACCAGGGTTTGGCATCTCATATGGTCCCCTGAGCACCACCAGGAGTAACTCCTGAGTGGAGAGCCAGGAGTAATGCCTGTGCATCGCCAGGTGTGACCCAAAAAGAAAAAAAAAGACCGCTCATTTGTTGTACTTCATTATTATAAAGTTTGACTGGAAGCTGAAAAAAATTCATATTCATAATTTTTTTTTGCCTGGACTGGAATTTTTTTTTGCCTAGGGAAAGGTTTTCACTTGATAAATTTCTCTCCAGAAAGACTGAGTCAACTTTTGTTCTTACTAGTACTTTCTTAATGTAGGATCTGGTAATTCTAATCGTTAAAACATAGCAAATCTGTGATTAAAAAATATATCAAATTTATTTTTATTTTTTTAACTTACTGTTCTGAATTTCTTGAATGAAAACACTGAAGTAAATTTGACGGAATTAAATTTATTGATTAGAGGATATATTTCAAATTAAATGTTAAGAAAATTGAGAGATATTTATATTTCAATAAAAATGCTTCTTCAACGTTTGTTTCTAATCTACTAAAATAATTACACCTTTGTACAAAATATAAACAGTCAAGAATCAGTCAACAATTATTTACCTAATATTTACATCATTTCTAATTCAACACAAGAAATAAAAATATTTAACTTATAGTTCCGTTGAGAGTGAATGGAACATCAGGAACGAGACTGTTTCTCATAAGCATTGTCTGTGAGATTCAGCTGGAGTCCGACCTTTCCGAACTCACAGTCGAAGTTGGCCAGCATTTGAGCCACTTGACTAATGTTTGGTGTTATCAGAATGATGTCTTCAGCGAAGTGGAGGTGGTGTAATTGCCGACCATCTATCTTCACTCCCATTCCTTCCCATTCCAGTCGTCGCATGATGTTCTCGAGGGTGGCACTGAAGAGTTTCGGTGAAATGGTATCGTCCTGCCTCTTGACATCGATGATCACTTTTTTGAAGAATGGTGAGATGCTGGTAGTGAATCCATAATATAGCTCATGGAGAATCCTGATGTATTGAGTTTGAACGCCCTGTTTGGCTAGGGCTTCATTGACCGCTTCAGTCTCAACAGAACTAAAGACATTCTTTAAATCAATAAACGTTAGACAGAGCAGCATCTTGAACTCCTGAAAAACCTCAATGAGCTTGGTTATCGTGTGGATATAGTCGATGGTGCTGAATCCTTTACAGAACCTGACTTGCTCACATGGTTGTCCTTCATCTAGTGTTCTGCCAATCCTATTCAGGATGACTCAAGTGAACAGCTTGTAGATGTCAGATAACAGGCAGATCGGGCAATAGTTGCCAATGAATGAACGATAGTTGCCATACAATGAACATCTCTGAATGGAGCAGCTATGTGTACCTAGGTCGAGAACTCAACATGACGAATGACCTGGCACCTGAGTTGCGCAAGAGGAAGAGAGCAGCGTGAAATGCCTTCAAGAGCGTCAAAGAAATAGCTAAGAGGACAAAGAATCTTCAGTTCTAGGCACATCTCTTCGACTCCACCGTTCTTCCTGCATTAACATATGCCTCAGAGACCTGGGCCCTATGAAGACAAGATGAGGATGCTATTCGGGTCTTCCAAAGAGGAATAGAAAGAGCTATGCTTGGAGTATCATGCTTCACTAAGTGAGAGAAGGAATCTGAAGTTCCGATTTCCATTGATGATCAAGAGTCAGGGATGCTGGCTCCATTTGCCAAGGCATCGAAAATCAGATGGGCTGGACATGTAATGCGATTTCGAGATGACTGCTGGACTAGAGCTGTTACAGACTGGATCCCACGGGACATCAAAAGATCGCGTGGCCGCCCACCTATGAGATGGTCAGATTTCTTTGTCAAGACCCTGAACAATCGGTTTGAGGTTCTTCATGTTCCTGGAGTGAGCAGACGTCATTGGACTACACTAGCACGTGACAGGGACGAATGGAGATGTTACTGGCGCCCACTGGAGCAAATCAATGAGTAACGGGATGTCAAGTGATCAAGAACTTATAGCTAAGTGTTTTACCCAAAATAAATAAAAGCAACCTAAAAATGTAAATAAAAAATATATAATTTCAGATGCTTCTCCCTATAAGCTAGAATTGCAGTATTCCAACGCTCAGTCCTTGGCTTTGAAATGTTTGCTACCTCCCTGCATGGGTAGCAAGATAAATCTTTCCCTAGATTTATATGGTATATGACAGACTTCTCTAACAAGCTCTGCTTTTCAACTGAGTTGATTTTCAGGGATGTCTAAGCAAAGTGGTGTAAAATAAATGGAAGTCTCCCAATTTAATTTTCTCTAGTGTAAGATGATGGAGGAAGGTTGCTTTTAAGCTTTAATTAAAACTGAAATTTTGAATCACAAAATTCAAAGTGAACAAGTTGAGATTGTTAATAAAATTACCTCAGATTTTATTTTGTACAAGCATATGGACTTTTTACCTTTCAAATTTTTAGGGTTACTTATATTCTAAATTTTGACTTATGACATGTATGTAATTCTTATTTTAATGGAAATGTAACATGACAAATCTGTAAAATGCAGATATTTTAAATTAACATTTATATATATTTTTGATTCTTAATTTTTTATTTATTTATTTTTAATTTTTATTAGTGAGACATCATTAGGTATAGTTGTAGACTTACAAATTTTTGTGCTTTGGTTTCAATTATACAATGATCAAAAAAATATGGAACGCTTCACAAATTTGCGTGTCATCCTTGCGCAGGGGCCATGCTAATCTTCTCTGTATCGTTCCAATTTTAGTATATGTGCTGCAGAAGTGAGCACAATATTTATACTTTTAACAATTTAATTTTCCTTATTTAGGCTGGTGCCAAAGATACAAGATATCTGTATGCGGCAATACATCATCGTCTTGTTGCACTGAGAGCCTTTGATAATCAGAAAAACATATATCAAGCTGAAGGCCAGGCAGAAACAGTCGTCCAACAATTAAGCTGTGATAGCTGTGATGAGGATGAAGACGATCTTATCCATGTCACCAAAATTAGATCAGGTAATAACTTTTCTTTTGTTAGCCAAAATAGGACTATGTTCAATACTGAAATATTAAATCAGTTTTTTACAAAGTGGAAGTTACTTGTTTAAAGTGAATGGCTGAGAAATGGATGGACATGGAGAGTATCATGCTGAGTGAAATGAGTCATAAGAAAAGGGACAGATATAGAATGAATGCATTCATTTGTGATACATATATATATATATATATATATTTTAGAAAACTAATATCCATGGCCAGGAAAAACAGGGTTTTGGATGACTGGTCAATGGTTGGAATCTACCACAAGTGTGTGTGTGTGTGTGTGTGTGTGTCAGAGGTTAGGTAAGATATAGAAGGGACCTATATGACAATAATAGTTAGAAACGATCACATTAGACAAGAACTCAGTGTAAAAAGTTGGTAAAGGGATATAAACCTTTCAGTGTCTGTATTGCAAAACATGAGAGAGAGAGATAGACAGATATAAAGAGAGAGAGAAAGGAGAGAGAAAGTGCCTACCATAGAGGCAGGCAGGGGGTGGAGAAGGAGGTGGTAATGGGAGGGAAATTGGGGAAATTGATGCTGGGAAATGTACACTGGTGGAGGGATGGATGTTGGTGCTCTATACGGCTGAAAACTAATCATAAACAGCTTTGAAATGGGTCTATCTCACAGTGATTCAATTATAAAACAGTAGATGGTTGGGGGTTAAATATATATATATATATATATATAGAGAGAGAGAGAGAGAGAGAGAGAGAGAGAGAGAGCGCTTAGTATAAGTGCATGTACCTTCAATGTGTGAGTTTTGATTTCTTTCTTGGTACTGCAAAAAAACATGAAGGGGAGTGGGTGGAAGTCAGAACCCAAGAAGTCTGGGTCAAAGGATCTGGTTCAGAAGAGGTAGGCTCAAAAATTAGTCTTCTGTATGTGTTCAGGCTACTTTCTGGACTGCACGGCCCTGTGACACATCATGGGACACTTCCTACCCATTGTCCATAATTACCACACCATGTTTGATGGAGTTCAGACAGTATGCAACAGATCATAGAGAGAAATATATATATGCCTCTCGGAGTGCCCGGCAATCTACCGAGAGTATCCCACCCACACGGGCAGAGCCTGGCAAGCTATCCATGTTGTATTCGATATGCCGAAACCAGTAACTGTAACAGGTCTCACTTCCCTGACCCTGAAAGAGCCTCCAATCATTGGGAAAGATGAGTAAGGAGAGGCTGCTAAAATCTCAGGGCTGGGACAAATAAAGTCGTCATTCTGGCACCTGCTCAGAGTAAACTGATGAACAACGGGATGACAGTGATACAATGATGTGTCCTTTATTAGAATTTTACCAACAGTCAAATTTTGATAAACCATTTGCTTATCAGTTTCATAATTTTAATATGTTTCATAAGAAACTGTTTACAGGGCAGGACTGGAGACACATCTGGCATGCACAAGGCCCCTAGTTTGACTGGATATTGCATGACCTCCTGAGCACCCCTGGGGACAACATCACATCATTGCACCAAGCATCAGACTAAAAGCAATGCTGGGGAACAGGGCAGTAGTTCAGTGGGTTGGGCATTTGCCTTGTATAAAAACTGACCCTGGCATTCATATGGCCCCCGAGCACAGCCAAGAGTGATTCCTGTGTGCAGAGTCAGGAGCAAACCTTAAGCATCACTGGGTAAAAGGTAAAGGTAAAGGCCCTCCCGTTGATCGTCGATTTGCTCGAGCGGGCCCAGTAACGTCTCCATTGGAGACTTTGTTGTTACTGTGTCTGGCATATCGAATACTCCCGGTAGCTTGCAAGCATCACTGGGAGTGACCCAAAAACCAAAACAAACCCAAACCAAAAATAAATAAATAAATAAAATAAGCAAAAACTAAGCAATGCTGGGGAGGTTGCACCTCCAAACAAAATTTTTTTTATTTACAATTTAAATACTACATTGCTACCTGAAAATGACTGTTTATTAACTTATTTTCATTTTATTACTGACATGGGTGATATAACAGTAACACCTAGTGAAGCTATCAGGGATCCCAAAACATTGACAATGCTGTTTCTTTTCTGGAATTGAACTTCTTCTCTGCCAAGTCAAATGGTACCGTGTGTGTGTGTGCGTGTGTGTGTGTGTGTGTGTGTGTGTGTGTGTGCACGTGCATGTGTGTGTGTTTGAAATTGGGTCAATATTTTTCATTGAGCCAAGATTTTAGTTTTAGTGCTTGTTTGTATGTGTGGACTTAAAACTTAAATCTATTCATTTATTTGCAGAAAAGCATTGTAAAGGAAAAACAATAATAATATACAAATACATTTGTGATTATTCCAATGAAGCCACCCAAATATTGTCACTAATGGGTAAAGTTAGTCTTGAATTCTGCCCCACAAAGGACTTTCTTACAGTGAGTTTTTTAGCAAGTATTGTTTTAAACTTTTTATCCATTTCCATCATAAGGCTACTTTAACTATACCTAATTTAAGAATGTATCAAAAATACCAGCAGAGTTTGGTGAAACATCTCCCTTAGTTTAATACTAAAAACGCAATTGAACACACAAAGCATCATAAACTGCTTGATTAAATGAACCAGAGAATTAAGTAATAAGATAAAAGTCATTCTTTTAAACAAATGATTTATAATTGTTTGGAATTGGATAAAATATATAAATACAACTATCTTTTCTATTACTATGTTTAGATTGCCAACAGCAAAATGAGGCCTATTAGAATATAAACTTGCATGCATTAAATTTTTTCAATGTATTCATTTAGCATTCAAAATACTTGAAGTAAAAATTAAATGGAAAAATTCTCTCATCAGAGATGATGCAATTATTAGCCTATTTTATTATATTATATCTTAGAAAAGAAAAAATATGAAATTACCAACCTACGAAATGAAAAACAACAGGCACAATGCAAAGTAAATGGTAATCGTGTAATCTCCCACTTCCTCTAACATTTTCCCTTTCCACTTAGTCCCTCTCTAGGTGTGCTGAGTACATGCTAAAATGTTATTGAAGTGACAAAAAGTTTAGTTTTCAAAAGTTGGTGGCAATGGGGTTGGAGTGATAGTACAGCAGGTAGGGCGTTTCCCTTGCACACAGCTATATGGGTTCAATCCCTGGCATCCCAGATGGTCTCCCTGGCCCATCAAGAGTGATCCCTGAGCATAAAGCCAACAATAACCACTGAGCACCGCAGGTGTACCCCAAAATAAACAAACAAAAACTTTGGTGGCCCATGAATTCAGGAAGGGTGTCATTCTCTGAAGAGATCTGTGTAAAATTATCTTTATTTCCAAATGTTACTTTTAAAAAATATTGATTCTGCATATTTTATGTCCTTTAACTAAGCATATTTATAATTATTGATGTTCAGTTGTACTAATATTAATGCAATCAATATATTATATCTAAAGAATTTTAAATTTATATCACAGATCCTTCTAGGTGGACCTGCAGAAAGTCAGTTGCCTGTTCATGAATGATATCTACTATGAACATGACAACATCTACAAAAAGGCTATCTTACTGAAAATACTGAACTATCCTAGAAGATCCTATTCATTCTTGTGAGCATTTATAGCTCAATAACTAGAATTACTGCAATTAAAATGTTTATCTTATGCAGCCTAATAATTTTTAAATTTTATATTTGATTATTGTGAATAAAATTTAAGAAATATATAAACTTTGAAAGTAAAATTTATCATTTTTGCAGAAATTAATATAGAATAGGATTTGATAACTGACTCAAACTGTCCATCACATTGATGGATATAATAAAAAAAAAAGACTGCTGGATTTGGTAAATAAATAATAGGTAAAATAGATCTAACTAAGTATTTATTTTTTAGTCATACCTTTTCTGCTCATAAAACAAATATTTTGTGAAATTTCCAAATTCAATTTTTGGAAAAACATTGCATGATATGCTGCATGATAGCATTTTATTAAATCATATCTTCTTTGAGGCAATGTGCATTTTCATTTAGTTTTCAAACTAACTAGTATTATAAAAGAATATGTCTCTGGCATTAATTCCTGTAGAGTATTTGTTCTTGGACTTGTATTCATTGCAATTTGTATATGCGTGACTCACGATAAGCATCCAATAGCTGAAGGAATGAACAAAATATATCATCCACGTGTCGGAGCAGTAAGTATGAAGTATGTTAACTTGTGTTCTTTATGTGATTAAATTGTTATTAATATTTAAGTAGCTGTGAGTGTATGGAGACCTGTTAAAAACATGTGTACCATGGGGCCAGAGTGATAGTACAGAGGGTAGAGTATTTTACTTGCATGTAGCTGAGCAGGGTTCAATCCCCTGTATCCTATATGGTCTCCCAAACACCTCCAGGAATGATTCCTGAGTGCAGAGTCAGGAGTAACTATCCCTGAGCATTGCCAGGTGTGACTCAAAAAGACAAAAACAAGTAAATAAATAAATTTAAAATGCAATAAAAATAAAACAAGTGTATCAAAAAGTCAAGTGAAATTATTATCTTGAATGGCATTATTATGATAGATTATAAAAATTCCAACAATTGTGCAACAGAGTTTCAAGTTTCCTTTGATGAGATCTGTTTTAGAGGCACTTCATGAACTACAGAAGAAAATAGTCTCGGTACTTATAGTCACATTTCATTTTTCATTAATGTAGTTTGGTCATTTAGGACTTAAAGTTGACCTTTGATTGTCACCCCTAAGTAGACATCCCTATTACAGAGATGTTTTAGTTGGGACTGTCATAAAAAATTACTATGGACTAGGTGGATTAAACAGGAGAAATTTATTTCTCAGATTTTCAGAAGCTACAGTCTGAGGTCAATGTGCCAGCAAGATATGCTTTATCCTGAGACCTCCTTTCTGGGCTTACAAATGACTGCCCTCTCATTGTGTGCTTAAATGACCTCTTCTTTTTTGGGAGATGTGTGTGAAAAAGAGAGAAAGGAGAGAGAGGAAGAGAGAGAGAGAGAGAAAGAGAGAGAGACAGAGAGAGAGACAGAGACACAGAGACACAGAGAGGCAGAGACAGAGACAGAGAATCTTTGATTTTTGGTGCCTCTTCTTACAACGTCACCAATCCTCTTCGACCACAGCCCTACCTCCTAACCTCATCTAATCAAATTATCTCAGAAAGCCCCTTCTCCAAATATCATCACAAATTGGGGTTTACACCTTCAAAATATAGATTTGGAGGGAGCAGTTTATAGCAAGAAGATCACTGTCACTGTCCTCCCATTGTTCATCTATTTGCTCAAGCGGGCCCAATAACGTCTCCATTGAGACACTTGTTACTGTGTTTGGCATATCGAATACGTCACGGGTAGCTTGCCAGGCTTTGCCGTGCTGGCAAGATATTCTCGGTAGCTTGCCGGGCTCTCTGAGAGGGGAGAAGGAATCGAACCTGGGTTGGCCGGGTTGGCTGCGTGCAAAGCAAATGCCCTGTGCTATCACTCCAGCCCAGCAAGAAGATAAGTTTCACAATTTCAAAACAACTTATGAAAGTCCTTTTAATAACCTATTTGGAATAATGGCATAACTTCACAATATGCTCCTTGAATAATATCACATGTACATGTGAAGATACATTTTTTAAAATTTAGATTACTAACTGCACTTACAGTATCTTTTGTAATAATAACAGCAGATACATGTTTTTTATTGTTAAATCTTAGCTAATGTCTAAAAGTTTAGTTTAGCATATGAAAGTTGAATGAACTCTTGTAGAATATAGTATGTTCATTGTTCAAAGCTTTGCTCCTTTCCTAAAACTGAATTAACTACTACTATATAGTTAGTTAGTGAGAGGGTCATTCAATCTCTAGAATTACTAGAGAAGAAATGTAGTTAGAGGTATATATCTAAAGTGAAAATTAAGCAAAGGCTTGGAAAGGGAAAAAGAAAAAGTAATGTGAAAGATTAAAAGAAAAATGGTAGAGGAAAGGAAACAACAGAGAAAAGAAGAGCTCTAGCGTGAATGTCAGTGTCAAGAAAGAGAAAAACAATTTTTAAAGTTAGTTGTTTTATACTACATTTGATCTTAGCCAAAAGGCTGGAGCAATAGCACAGTAGGTAGGGCGTTTGCTTTGCATGCGGCCGACCCAGGTTCAATTCCTCTGTCCCTCTCGGAGAGCCTGGCAAAATACTACAAGTTTCCCGCCCACACGGCAGAGCCTGGCAAGCTCCCTGTAGTCTACTGGATATAGCAAAAATGGTAAGAAGTCTCACAATGGAGACATTACTGGTGCCCGTTCGAGCAAATAGATGAGCAACGGGAGGACAGTGCTGCAGTGCTACAGTTATTTTATAAGCCTAGAGTAAGAGATGCAGAATACAGAAAATGTTTTTTTTTGCTTTTTTTGCAGAGGGCAGATGGGGGACACCCTCAAGTACTCAGGGTTTACTCCTAACTCTGGATTCAGAGATCATTCCTGGCTGAGTCCTTGGAATTGAACCGGGTCTGCTGTGTATGAGATGAGTGCCTTACCAATTATACTATCACCCTGGCCTCTAAATAGAAATTTTTATTAGATGCATAATGTGAACATGGGGGAGACATTTGAAGAACATATTAAAGAATGGATTTTATTGAAATATTTTGGCTAGTATGGGGATCTGATTCCACTAAATGGTTAAAGGGAAGCAGAGAGATCATTATCTTTCTTACATGTTTATTCTGATCCTTGCGTTAGGGTGGAGATGAAGCAATATTTTCCAATGTCTTGAACATTTTAATATAATTCACACTCCTTTTCCTTCTGTGATATTCCTTGTAGTTTTCCACATTTTTTATAATTTTGTTCAGCACTTGACATTGTATCTGAATCATACGAGGCCCTCAAATATAAAATTAATTCTATTGATGTTCTGTAAGAGGTATTATCCAATAGGAAGACAGGAGTTGGAATTTGAAGCAAAGAAGATAATCTGGGCTAATCAGACAGGCAGAAGCTAAAGTCAGTAGCAAGGGAAGAGAGGTAAATATTTTGAATGGGCAAAAGACATCTGTACCTAGTTTCATCATATTGTTAACTACTGTTATTTTATAACTAAAGTATAATCTTAGTAAGGTAAAGGAATGAAATCAAAATTGACAAAAAGATAATAAATCAAGGTCTTTCAAAATCCAAAGTCTAAACTCTTTTTATTCCACAACACTAGAAGTATTACATGCATAAAGGGAAGTAGGCTTTGAGGAAGGGAGGGAAACTACAGGTCCTGAAAATAAATTTAGGGATAACCCAGAAAGTGAACAGAGAGATGTGAAGAACACAATTAACACATTAAGGACTGGTATGTTGGGAACTAGAGTGGAAAATGTTATGAGCAGAGGCCTGGAATATAAAACCACATGCTTTCCAAGAATGAGGTCCTGGTGTTTGATATCCTATGTCCCTGACAAAAATAACAGTTTTCTCCCAAGATCTAATGATAACCATTCCAAATGTTGCCAAAATATCTTCTTCAAGGGCTTTTTAAAAGCTCTCTGAGTTTACAATCAGATCTTTTAGTAACCTTGGACATAGCAGTAGTGAAGTGGTGGGGGAGAACTTTCAACTGTCTTTCAAGATAGGGAATCAACCAAGGTGTTCAGTGAAAATGAGTGGATTATGAAGATGTGGCATAGACACAAGGAAATACTATGTAACTGCAAGGAACAATAAAATCACGCAATTTGCTGCAATTTGCATAGAACTGGAAGTTATCCTGTTAAATGAAATAAGCCAGAACAACAAACTGGATAATCTCATTTATCTGTGATATATAGTGGAACTGGATGAGGAAATGGAAGATGTGAAAGGGATTATACCTACATCACTTTTGATCCCACAGTATAGGAAGAACAGAGTATAGGAAGAACAGAGAAAGAAAGGAATGCGGGGGGGTGGGGTGGATAAGAAGAGGTAGAGGGAGGTAAGAGATTGGGGTTGGGGGACACAGGCCAAGTACTCGAGTTAAATCTCAGTTAATGCCTACAAGTTTAGTTAATGGGTGGTGCAGAGAAGTACAGTTCTATAATCAAACCACAGAGTCACAGAGTCATCAACACTGAAAGCAGGAAAGCCAAAGGACAACAACCAAACTTAAAAATGTGCCTGTTAAAGAGGCAGGTTGGCGGGTGGAGTGGAACCTGGGGAAACTGGTTGGATTGATGCTGGAACAATGTATGCCCCAAACTCTGTAGCACTGTAGCTCTGTCCTCTGGTTGTTCATTGATTTGCTGGAGCGGGCACCAGTAATGTCTCACAACAAATTGTGAGACTTGTTGTTACTGTTTTTGGCATATCGAATACATCACAGGGAGCTTGCCAACCTTTGCTGTGCGGGCAAGATACTCTCGGTAGTATGCTGGGCTCTCCGAGAGGGGTGGAGGAATCGAACCTGGGTTGGCCTTGTGCAAGGCAAACTCCTTACCACTATGCTATCGCTCTAGCCCAACTATGATAAATCATGGTTCATTAATTTTTAAAAAAGAAAAAAAGAGAAACAAATGCAAAAATATTTGCTATAAAAAGCTGTAAGCAATAATAAAAATTAAGACTCGGAAAGTTGACTTTAAAAAAAAATTAAAGATATCACAGATACTAGCATGTTTATTGATACTGAAGAGGAAATCCAATCAGAGGAAGGTTTGTTATACTCTATAAAAACATTCAAGAAGGTAACTTGGTTCAATATTATTTTAAGGCGGTGAAAAGGAATGAGATCGCAAAATGACAAAGTGATATCCCAACTGAGATGTAAAACATCTGTTGCTGTAAATGGGATCAATCCCTCCCTCCCCGCCCCAAAATGAGTTCTTATCTTTAATGCAGAAGACCTCAATTTCACATGAGTACAACCAAACTCAGAATTTGGTTAAAACTTTGGTTTTCTAGATTCATTCCCCCCCCACACACACTTTTCCTTTTTGGTCCTATGGAATTACCATCCTCCTATTCCCCCGTTTCAAACCAGTCTTCTGTGACTACTCTCTTTTCTGCTTCCTCAACATTTAATGAATTACAAAGTTTAGACTAGTAACTACAGAAAGGTCTTAGCGGGTATTCAAATTATAGACGAGAAATTCACATCTCAAAGGAATCAAGAGGTGTGCTTTTAAGCTTCCACTACTGGCAGCAGCCGTTCTAGGTAAGGGAGGGGGCCATAGCTTCCTAACACAGCAGCTGACATCCCTCAGACGCCACTGCGTGTTTCCAGAAATACACTACCTGGCACCTAGTAGGGACTCAAACTGTCAGTGAACCCAGGGCTGGTGGCGGGTAGCTGAAAAGAGCCACCGACTCAGCCCTACTTGGATTTGCTAGAACTCTAGCATTTGCATCACTCTAGTTCAGCGCTCCCATTTTATATACGCAAATAAAGTAACCCGAGCAAAGTCCAAAAGCTAGTTACCGATAGAACTGCAACTTCAAAGTCGCGGAGTGTGTCAGATTGTTAGATGGGGGCTGTCATGTGATTTTCCCTTAACAATGTGAGCGTTTATTTATTTTTTTAAATTCCATCATTACTTACTACCTTAACCTTAGGTTAAGGTAGGGTCTTACTGAAGTCACTATTCCTAAAAGTGCCCAAGTCTCCCAATCTAAGGAGCATCCCAAATTCAGATCAATAGTCCCCAAACATTGCCCTCAGAACTCTTCTCTCCAGTTACACAGTTTTCACTGCTCACTGAATAAACTACAACTTAGTATTAACCCTTCGTTTACTTTTCTGCTTCTTCAGTCCCATCTCATCTCCGCATTCAGACACGCTCCTCTCAGGGAGACTAATCATTTCTGATCAAAGAACTCCGCAACTTCATTTTTGCACCAGGCCTTTAAATCATGTAGTGGGATGCAGGTCAAGCTTTTTACAGTACCGTAGCGCAGGGACAGAAGAGCATCTCAGTTATCCTCTACGCGTTAAATGAATGAACAAAGGGCTTAAGTGCAAATACGAGAGGGTCCACGCTTACCGTTTACACTTAAGTCTTAAGCGCAAAGACAAGAGGGTCTACAGTTTCGTACTTTACCCTGACGTGCAATTACCAAAAAGAATGGAGCCTCGGGGAAGGGGAAGACTGAATCGCACCTGCCTTTCCACCAGGCTCAAAATCCCCCCCACCACACGTGGCTCCGGACCGGTTCCAGCTGGATTCCTCCGAGGCTATTCGAAAACCAAATAGAATTCCTGCACTTCCCTCTGCGCAAGCCAATCCCCGGAGCGTCTGGGGCGGGGGCGGGGGTTCCTAGCGCTCAGCTTGCTCTGATTGGCTGAAGGACTTAGCCCGGTGGGCGGGGAGTGAGCCCTGGGCCGCGGGGGAGGCGGGAGGTGCGCCGGGAGGCGTCCGTACTGCGCAGGCGCGGGCGGAGAGCGTACACAAACAAAACCCAACACCCAGAGGCGGCCGGCTTCCCTCCTCCCCACCCCCCACCCCCCACACCACCACCCCGTTTCCTCGCGCCGGGGGCTCCCCCGGCTCCCAATAGCTCCGCTCGCCCCGCCTCCGTCAACGTCTGGGCACGTCCCCCTGGTGGCGCGGGCCACGCACCGCCGTGCATTTAACCTCTGCCCGCCCGGCGCGAATGTGAGACGCTGCCCGGGCGGTGCGGGGCGGCTCGCACTCCTGGCGGCGGGCAACGGCGGCGGGAGCCCGGGCCTGCAGCCCCGGCCGGGCCGACGATGACTTGCTACCGAGGCTTCCTGCTAGGCAGCTGTCGGCGCGTGGCGGGCGGCCGGGCGGCGGCGCTGAGGGGGCCGGGCACGCCGGGAGGCCCCGCGGCGCGGCCGCGGCTCGGCGGCGACGGTGGCAGCGGCGGGCGGCACCTGGGGCAGGGGCAGCCGCGCGAGCTGGCGGGCCGTGGCAGCCGCCCCGACGGCGGCTTCCGCCCCTCCCGGGTGGTGGTGGTGGCCAAGACCACCCGGTACGAGTTCGAGCAGCAGCGGTACCGTTACGCGGAGCTCTCGGAGGAGGACCTGAAGCAGCTGGTGGGTCCCCGCCGGCCCCGCCGTGGTGTCTGGGCTCCGCTTCCAGTTCGCTCCCCGGCTCCGCTGGGGGTGGGGGGCGGCCGCAGCCCCCCCGACCGAGATCTCTGTCCCGGGCTGGACCCCCTCAGCACCCCCGGACCTCCAGTCCGTTCTGCTCCCCTGGTTTTCTCGAAGACCCCCTCAGTGCAGGAGAGGGAGGGAGAAAGGGGGTGTGGGGGGTCACAGTTCGTGCCCAGGGTCCCCACACCCCCACCCCCGCTCCACGTGCCCCAGGTTGGGGGTCACATGGAGGAAACCTTGGAAGCGGGGAGAAGGGGCTCCGTAGCCGGAAGGTTTGGGGATACACTTAGATCCTCGCCACCCCCACCCCATGTTGCAGGGGAGAGGAGCGGAATTAACTCTGATCCCAAGAAGGGTGTGAGGGTGGTGGAGGACCGGACATTCTGGGGAGAGCTACCCCCATCCCCCCAGATGTGGGGGCCCCCGCTGCGGGTCGCGGAGGAGAGGGCGAAGGTGCCGCGGACACACCCCCTTTCGCGCAGCGGGGCCGCGAGGCCTGAGACTCAGCCCGCCCAGGACGGCCTCGCCTGCGCTGGAGCTGCTAGCGCCAAGGCACCGGGGCTGCAGTGCGTTTCCCAGGCACACGTGTCTCGGGAGAAGGGAGAAGAGCCACTTCTGGGCTACTAAGGAAGGTCGAGACAAAGGAGCGGGCAGGAAACTGGCTCAAGTATGGTATCAGGAGACTGTAAAGTCACAGTTCTTCCATAGCTGGCACAAGTAGGATTGATGCCTTTGCAAAGTATATACAACTATTCGAGGGGGCAAAAGGGCCCCGATCTCTCTTCCCTTTCTTTTTAGAAACTTCTGAGCCTTTGCTGCCCACCACACCAACACTCCGGAAGGGCAGGTGACGGTGCTGTCACGAGCACCCAGTCCAGGAAAATCGCCCTGGGCATGTTGACACTGCACCAGAAGCTTTGCCATTAACTACCTTAAACTACTTTTGTAGAATTCAGTGCAAGAGAAACACCCCATTGTAAGCTTTTGGTCTGGTTTGCCACCTTTAGCAGAATTTTGGTAGTATTTGTAGAGGCATCACAATGAAGTTTTAAGTCATCTTTGCTCCAATACTGATCTACTTTTAGCATGATTTCTGGATTCTTTAAGAGTTCATTGAAGCCCCTGGCAGTTCCCTGATGGAGGTGTACTAGGTGTGGATTTGTTTTCTCTCCCCAAGAAATTTTTACATTCTTTAAAGAGTTAATCAGCGAGCAGTTCTTTTTTAATGTAGGAGTATTGTTATTTATTCAGCCATTGATTAAGCTGATTGAATTGGACATGAGCTCCACATTCCTTTTTTTTTTCAATTTTTTTTAATTGGATATTCGTGAGATAGACCATTACAAAGCTGTTCAGCCAGCAGTTTACCCTGAGGCGGGAGTAGTTGAATTGGTATTAGGAAATGAAATTGGGGTGAAGCAAAAGTAGGAATGTTTCTTTTGGGGAAGAGGGTGACACTTGGGTTGTTCTTCTATTTTTGCGAGATGTATACGTTCCAAAATAGTCCAATGCATGCATAAAATACTCTGTCATACAGTTTTATGGAAATCTCCCATAACAATGTGAAATAATAAAATTGGTGGCTTGTTCAGAGTGGCAGAACCTGTGGAGTCAGGACTTGCTAGGCCCAGGATCTGTGTGATTAAATTCTAAAAGTGGGTTTTTGTCATTTGTTTGTTTGGGGGTCATGCTCAGCAAACATATCCAGTCCCAGGAGCACCTTGACCCTGTAGTATTCTCTCTGCCCCCAGGTTCTATGCATCTTTTAGTTACCCTGGGCCTATGTAGTGAAAACTTTTAGTGTGGTAGTTTTTTAAGTGCTTGCATTCTTGTTCTGTAAGTGAAAGACTACTTCTGTAAGATGGATTAATAACCACCAGGGACCTAGAAAGTGCTTGCATTTTGGACAGTGCTTAGTTTTCCGAAGGCCTCAAGAAAATGGAGCCATCTGAATTATTTTCTTGTACTCTGAACTAGGGTGTCAGTAAGCAAAAGTTGTTTTTTATTCTCTTTTTGGGTCATACCCTGCGATGCACAGGGGTTACTCCTGGCTCTGTACTCAGGAGTTACTCCTGGCGGTGCTCAGGGGACCATATGGGATGCTGGGAATTGAACCTGGGTCAGCTGCATGCAAGGCAAACGCCCTACCTGCTGTGCTGTCTCTCCAGCCCCTGCAAAAGTTCTTAAATGTAGACAGATTGCTAAGTCTTTAGAAACAGAACTTCTAATGTACCTATCTTTTGAGTATCTGAGGAGATATCTCTACTTGGTAAATATTTCTCTGTTGCTCAGTAATACTTTTTGCCAGACAACTTTGGAGTAAAACCTTAGGTACTATAGAACATGGCATTTTGCAAACATCAGGGAATAGAATAGTCTTCTTGTTACAATTAATGTTTATTGGTTTAGTTCTATATTGAATTGAATTCGTTTTGTTATGCCAGTATTCAGGGTGGTATGAGGTGAAGCCCAGACAGAGATTGGGAACAAGACAAAGGATTCTGGACTATGTGAAGTTGTTCTAAAGTGGTATTCTGTAAATCGGAATGGTAAGATGGTTGGTATTATTTGCTAGTTTTGCTGGCGTAAAAGATACTAAGATTTACGAATTGTGTGAATTGGGTATGAAAGGAACTGGACAGGTGCTTACCTGTGTCTTGGATACCTTGGCTACTGGTCCATAGTAACCTGAAATTTTGTATTAATCAGAGGTTTCTTTGTTGTAGCAGTTATGGTTTTGTTGCAAACAGGTTTCTTATTAGGTAACCTGTTAAAATGCAAATGGAAGGCCAAGGAATGAGTGCAGGTATAATTTATCCCCAGTAACCACATTGTTGTCTAACTTTAAGGAACCTAAATGATTAGAAGCAATACCTAGTTGATAAAATAGCTACAGAATAGATTTATTCTATTTATTCATCCTTCAAACTGGGCCAAACTTTGACTTAAAACAATATTTTTTATGTGTTACATTGCTTTAAAAAAACACACATTTTTTTTCTTCTCCTAAGTGATCTATGACTTTTCTTGTGAATATCTTTCTTTTTTTCTCCTCCAAGGATTTCTAACTGCCCAGGACTTGCAAGAACTAATTAGACTATTACAGTTTACTTGTGTCTTATGAAATGTAGCTGTTGGCAAATGGGGACTTTCATTAACTGGTTCGTTACACTCGTGGATTAGACCTTTAGAAGAACCAAAGCTGATTGGGAAAAGCTTTGTATCATAAGCACACCTTCCTGGCCATTGAGAAGAGTTTAATTTAAAATATCTTAATGTAAAGCCCGTAAATGAGAAGTTTCCAAGCTCTTCTTTGCCCTAACACAATGCCAGAGGTATCCGCATTCAAAGATCTCCACTTCCAGGTTTTAAAAAACTATAATGGGATTGAATGATTTCATCTACCAGTCTCTTTATTGTTAGGTAATCTGTATTAAGTTATTGCTCTCATGAATTTGGGAGATGTCGTGCCTTGGATTTTGTTTACCTTATTTTGATTTCTTAAACTATGGTATAAATTGGGTTGTAGTTCTTGGACATGTAATTCTTATGCCACATGGTATGCAGTGAGTACAGTGTATGCAATATGAGTATTTGCCAAATTGAGCAACTATGTTTCCGTCATACCTCCCGAACCTTCAACAGAACTTCGTTCCTTTGAAATCTTCCAAGTACAGGCACCAGCTCTGTCTATCTAAAATGAACATCTGGCCACTGTACTTGTCTGTTCAGATCGCAAAAGCTCCCTGTAACCTGTAGAGTCATGTAGGGAATTTGTTAAAACGCAGATGCCCGAATTGCACCTCTTGTCACCCCCAGCTCCAGTTGGTGAAGAATTACCAGATTCTACCTTTTCGGGCTTTTTTTTTTAATATCTTTTTTTCTCACCATGACCCCTTCCAACTTATTTCCTACCTCTGACCTCTGTCTTGCCAGTTGGCCCTCTAGTCGCATGTAAATTTTCCTCCTCATATAAAATTTTACTAGTGAAGTCCTTGGAATATCTGGGGGTCCCACAGGGGGGCTCTCTGGCCCCCCGTAGAGAAACATTGCTGTAAGTGATCACCTTCTTGTTCCTTAGTATGTCAAACAAGACACTTTATGAGCTGGCTCCTTTCTACCTTTTGAACTTAATTTTAAAATCACATCTTTTCTTGACCTTGCATTAATTTCAAACACTTTAATTTCCACTTGATGTTATGCTGATTTCACTGTATTGATGAATATCATATTAAAATAGTTTAAAATATAGAATTCAGAAGAGTATATAAATGGAAAGTCTTAATCTTGTCCTAGGCACTCATTTTTTGTTTGGAAAGTAAGCAGTGTCAGCTTTTTCTTAGGTTTCCTTCCAGAAATAATGTAGAAATCCAGATCAACAAGGTGAAATGTTCTTTTTCGTTTTCTCTTTTGGCACAAGCTAAGCTATTCACCCTTTTGAAGAAAAACATAGTATGTATAGTAATCCATTGTGTGCCATCTTAATTTATTAAACTGCATCTATATTTTAAGAATGTATCAATTATACATGTGCAAATCAAACTCAAAGCTGATTGCCTAAAAGTGAAATTATCGACTCAAAAGTCATGCACATTTGAAAACTTAATAGATTTTGTCTCATGGCTTCTCTTGAAAGTTTCAGTACATACTTTCACTAGCACTTGTGTAAAGGTGCTTGTTTTTCCATAAACAGTTTATTCCCTACAAGAGCTTTTCTGGTTGAATATGTTTGAGACACATGAACCTAAATAAAAGATTTTACTTGAACATGAGATTTCTTGGTTTTGCCAGAAAATTTTTTAAATTCTGTGAAGCACAAATTAGAAAATGGAAACAGAAGGTATACTATCTCTTACATGAAGGTTTTATAGAAGACTTAGCTGATGTAAGAGAACTGAAATCACAGTTGAGAATGGTTGACCAATTTGTTTAGAACCTGG